TTATCATATCAGTTTGACATCTTTGATACAAGTAACGAGTTCACTTCCAAGTGAACAACCCGATAGTCTTCTTCTTATCATAGCATACCAACCAGCGAACACCCAGCCAAGTTTAGTTAGCCAGTTTGAGTATTCGTTACACCCCTTTACGTTCTTTTTCTTATCTAACGACGCTCCTATAGCTTAGCTATATTCTCTATTATTTCCCTTGTATATAGGTTGTTAGAAGACAAGGGAATGTCGCTAGTAATACCATTAATTTCAGTATAAATAAATCAATTATTACTATATTACTAACTAATTAGTTTCCTCGTACTAACAAAGGGTACGTGATTCCACTGCTATTCTCTACACCCGCAAAATAGGAGGCAACCGTAGCATGTAGTCCTACCGACTTTGCCCTCTCTATCCATTTCTGAAAAGATATGACCTCCACCCCTTCCCCGATCTCCCCCTCGACATAACCCTTAAAATCCTCCAGCGGAATGGTTGAGCTACCGATATGATGGAAGGAGCGAACCTTACGCCCCACCCCTATGCTCGTTATCTGCCCGAGAATTCCTCGCGCACATTCATCCACCGAGATGATGTGCACGAAGCCACGAACCTTTCCTGACGAGGGCACTGCGCGGAGAAGGCGGCTAAATTTTAAGTAGATCTTCAATGAGATCAAGCTCGGCGGCGTCGTCCCGGTGTACATGGGACGGTCGGTGGATGATAACTGGAAGCTGGTAGTAGGCGCATGCCTTCTCAAGAAGGCGCTCATTATCCCATTTTGATGCCGTATACCCATCTACACCATCGAGAGGCGGTGGGAAAGCTGCGCAAGAGATCTCGCCAAACTCCTATAAGCCGCTGTAAAGCGACCCTCTGGGAACTCGGTGGTAGAGATTCTCGTACACGTACGAAAATTTCGTACATAGGCCTAATTACGTAGTTAAAAGTAGACGTCTCCACTTTTCGGATTTTATACTTTATAATCCCCTACTAAGTAAAGATTAGTAATAAAGGATTAGTAATTAATCTACCTCTATTTATTACTTCTATAAATATAAAGTCTCCTTCTATCTCTCTACTCTAATTACCATACTTACGAAAGTTTAAATAAAGTAAGTATAATAAAGAATCTAAATACTAAAGAATCTATAATTTAAGTTATATAAAAACTCTATAAATAAAGAAAGTATAATAGTCTCTATATTTAAACTAACTACTATTCTCTAAGAGAAAACAACTTCCTCTCCTCTATATTCTAACCTCTAACTATAAAATACTACCTTTTAGAACCTTCAGGTTCTAAGTTAATTTAAATTCTACTAATAATACTAAAGATAATAACGTGCATGTATAGCGAACCGGCCAAACAAGCGAACCGGCCAAAACCCGGCGACCCCACCACACCTCCACGAAACATTAAATTTCTCTACAACGAAGGATGCCTCCGAAAAATGACGAAAGCCGGTTAGTCTTAGCTATCCAAGCTATGCAAAAAGACCCAAATTTACGTGCTCGAGCTGCTGCCAGGACCTATTCTGTAGACCACCGGAAGCTAGGTCGACGTNTCTTAGCTATCCAAGCTATGCAAAAAGACCCAAATTTACGTGCTCGAGCTGCTGCCAGGACCTATTCTGTAGACCACCGGAAGCTAGGTCGACGTTTGCTTGGTATACCTTCACGACGCGATATTTTAGCCAATTCACGGAAAATGACCGAGCTAGAGGAATCAGTACTTGTTCAACATATCCTCGACCTAGCTACAAAAGGATTTCCTCCGCGGATATCTGTAGTTGAAGATATAGCAAATCGACTTCTTGAAGCACGTCGCGTGCTTCACATTGAAGATATGATGCGGGCTCAGATCATCCATATTACTAAGGATAATTTCTTTCCTGCCTTCCACGCCGCATTTAATATTGCAATGACAGAAAGCAATATCCGAGGAGGGTTCCGAGGGGCTGGGCTTCTTCCATTTGACCCAGAAAGTGTAATTTCTACACTTGATCTTAAGCTAAAGACGCCAACGCCTCCAAACTCCCCCCCGTATTCCGCTCAGCCTTGGGTTTCCCAGACACCAAATAACCCTACTGAAGCCTTATCACAGACTGCATTTATTAAAGATCGAATTTTACGCCACCAAAGTAGCTCTCCAACCCCTATTTACGAGGCCATTGACCAGTTTACGAAGGGTGCATCAAAAGTAATGCACCAGATAGTACTATTGAAAGCTGAGAACCAGAGACTTCGACAAGCAAATGAAGTACTAAGTAAGCGCCGTAGAGCTAAAAAAACACGCCTACAGCAAGGAGGATCACTTAGTCAACAGGAAGCGCAGGACCTACAGGATGATAGAGACGTTGGTGAGCAGGTAATGCAGGAAATAAAGAGAAGTAGTGGTCGGAAGCCAAGGGAAGAATCACGTGCACGGCGCTGTGGCAACTGCGGAGAGACTGGTCATAATACGTGCACCTGTAATATTATAGAGGAAGTATCTGAGGAAGAAATTTCTGAATAGTGTTTTTTAATTAGAGGCGTTGTGGTAGAGTTCTTACAATTTCAATCGCGAGTGTAGAAAATTTTGGCCGGTTCGCTTGTTTGGCCGGTTCGCTATACATGCACGTTATACTATAAGGGATTAGTAAGAGAATTAAGTATATTTTATATTATAATATTCGTAAGTATATATCTCTATTAGAACTATGTCTTTAGTATAATATTTAAGGTTTTACGCCTACTATTAGTATACGAAAATATACGCGCTCGGGATAGTTTTGTACCCTAGGACAGCCCGCGGCGGGTGTTAGATATTCTCGTATATATCTAGCCTCGATTTCCCAGAGGGCGAGACGCCAGCTGTAGATACGTAGTGTATTGGAATCCGGCGCGGTAGTGCCAGTTTGATGAGCTCTTTTGTTGGGAGGACATTTTCGGGCTCCAGAGTGCGATAGTGCTTGAGATGAGACACATTGACTGTATTATGAAGGATGGCATCGGCCTCTGTAAAAATTCGTGTAGCATCTTCATCTGATAGGCCTAGGGCTGGTTGGATTAGGTCCCCTCTTGATATGGAGATTTTGTCGGTGTTAAGGGAAAGCAACGCTTCCGGTCGACGGACGGCGATGCAATGGATTGTTCGCACAGTGTCCTCGGCTACGAGCTACTTCAATATTGTTCTGCCTAAGAAACCAGTTGCCCCAATTAGTACCACGACTTCTGGGCATCGCTTGGGAATCGTCGGATACAGTTTAGGTACGCCTTTACTAATAGTAATATTTTGTGAGACCATCTCAGCAGAGACTTCATCCAGTACCTGCGTCTCGTTCTCCCAATCAATCACTGAACTCTTTCCCAAGTACCCTGATTTCTTTTCCTGGATAAGTGCAACTATGCCTCTGAGAGAACTGGACCTAAACATCTGTGCCAACTCCAAGTGGTAGCTAGAGTATTTTTGGATGTGGCTCTGTAATTGAACTAGGAGAAGAGAGCTCGCGCCGATATGGAAAAAGTCCGAATCGCCGTTCATATTCATGCGGTACGACGCGAAGATTTCGGCTGGAATGACTTGCGACCATGTCTGTAGAGAAGCTGCCTCAGGTAGATGCTGGACGTTAAGCTCGCCACTGTATTCTGTCCCTGACGGCACACTTGTGGTACAGCCATAGAGCGGTAGCTTGGCCACGGCGCGTCGATCAACTTTTCCGGCGCTCCCTCTCGGCAGATTATCAACGTTCATGATTTTAGATGGTCTTATATGCTAGGGTAAATGGAGGTTTTCCTCAACCCTTTTATTCCCTACCGGTGTTTCCGCTAAAAATACTACATAGGCGACGATAAACTTAGGCCCGCTATTGTCGCTAAGTCGGACAGAAGCAACTGCTTCCTGTACTTGGCCCTGATATATTTGTAAGATAGCGCCTTCGATCTCCTGGAGGTTAATTCGAATACTACGCAGCTTGATCTAGGTATCGCCAGCGATCCTGCCACCAACCATAAGACTGCCGTCGCAGAGGAGATGGCCCATATCCCCGGTTCTATACATAAATGCCCAGGCGGTAGGGTTCGCAAATAGATTAGGAAGAAACAGCAGTCTTGTTTCACTATGATTGTTTAGATATCCAAGAGCAATGCCAGCGCCGCCAATGACAATCTCTCCAGTGAACCCAATGGGCAGCGGATGGAGATGGCTATCAACGATATAAACGTGAGCATTAGGAGCAGCTTTACCAACAGGAATAGGTGTCAGTAAATTCTCGCTGTAAGTGATTTCCGCGCGGTGAGATGAGCAGGTGACCTCAGTTGGGCCATAGGCATTGAAGAGGTGAAGCGATTCTTTTCCTACCAGCCGGAAAGCTCGAATTAGGCTATCCGTTATTGGTTCTCCACCACAAATGGCCACCTTCCAAGGGGACCTCTGGAGGTCTTGAAGACCGTTGTTGATCCAATTGAGGTACTCGGATGGAGTTCCTGCAGTCATTGTGATTTGTTCCGAAGCCATTAATCGAGTCAATGAAATGGGATCCCCATGCAAACTCGAGCGTAAACTGCTATGCTTAATTTGAATGCCATTCGGAGTACCGGTAGAACCGCTCGTATATAATATAGCTGCTGGGTTATTGGCCGTAGCTTGAATTTCGTGAACTCCGATAGCAGAATCATAAAGAGTCTCGACATTGATGGTTGTAGTGTCTTTGATGTCGAGACCAGGTAACTTGTAAGCAGTAGTATTGTCAAAAAGAATGGCGGCGGGATTGCAATCCCCGGCAATGCTAGATAGCCTCTCGATTGGCATGATTGAGTCGAGAGGTACATATACAGCGCCAACGTACATAATTGCAAGCAAGGAACAAACCCAATCAACACTTCGCTCTTGAAAAACTGCGATCTTAAATCCTCGTTTCTCACCCAAAGTGAAGAGCTTTGCCACAATTTGTTGGACGCGGTGAAACATCTGTTCGTAACTGAGAGAGCTTTCATATCCATCTTTCAAGGCAGGGTCCTCCTTATGAACTTTAATAATATCAACTATACGATGTATTAAAGTTTCAGGCTATGAGGACTTGAGAGAGGGTCCTGTAACGCTATTAGTAACTACAAGTACACATAGAACTTCCCCCACTTCCTCTCCTCAAAAAGTCATTTACTTACCTAGTCCCAGTTGCAACGCATTACCGATGCTTTCATTCGGGAATATAGCAGGCGAGAACAGAAGATCCGTTGGGCGTCGGGAGAATGTATCTAGGATCATGTGGTAGCTGTCCATAAGCTATTGCGCATTATTTTGGGAATATAGGCATTCCTGGACCATAATGTTGAGTTTGTAGCCCGTAGTATAATCGGCTATGTCGATATATATATCATAAGCTGTTTTCCCGGTTTCGAAATCCATGACGTCTATTAGCGCGCCTCCAAAAGATGAAGATTCCTTTGCACCTTCGCGGTAATCCACAAAGGTCTGAAAAAGTAGGTTGTGATACTCCGATCTCGACATGTGGAGCTCATCAATAAGGGCCCCAAACAGAAGTCTGGAATGAGCGAGGGCGGCTAGTATCTTCTTTCGAGTATCTTGCAGCACGCCCAGAAATCTTTCATGCGGTAAATGCTTTGTAAACTATATCAGTAGTAAGTTAACGTAAGGACCAATACCATCAAGCAAGTCTTCGTTAGCCCGGTTGCCAGTAGCGATGCCCACACAAAAATCTTCGGTATCAGTAAAACGGGCTACAAGCGTTCAGAATGCTGCAAGATAGAAGTGAAAAGGTGTCACCTTCAGCGTGCGACTTTGTTAGGTTATTCTACTTGTCAGTTCCCTAGTCAACCGTATACTGACCCTATGGAATTCATAATTTGTCTAGCGTGTCCGAGACTTGGAGTCAGAAAAATAAAGAACAGGCAATGGTGGGGGTATATCTTTCAAGACGTTCTTCCAATATGCCATGTCCTGGTTCCAGGCGCCATCTAAATATTCTTCTCTTTCGCGAAGAGTAAAATCTAGGTATTGTAAAGGCTCCCTTAAATGTTGATGATTGTATGCCCTCTCAAGATCTCTCATAAATGTTTGTGAGCTTAGGCCATCCATGATGATATGATGACAGCCAACGAGAAGATAGTGTTCACTCGAGGATTTAGTCAAAAGAATTGTTCGCATTGTCTCGCCCTTCTCCAAGTTGAAACATGACCCGTGTGTAGTTCACTGAACGTCTGTGAAACCTCGCTCTCGTTGGTAATATTCCGTGTCTCAAGATGAATACGAGGGGTCCCCATAACTCCTTGAAAATAACTTGAATCTGGACGGGTTTGGAAACAGGTTCGTAGAATTTCGTGTGTATTTGCTACTTCTGTCACGGCTCGCTTGAGATCGGCGATGCGTAAGCTCCCTCTAATACGGGATGAGCCAGTGTGGTTAAGTGTGGTGGCATCTTTAGTGAAGAGGTGTACGAACCAGAACATGGATTGACCATGAGACAACGGTCCCTCTCTATCCAAGAGCACAGATGGCTCCTCTTCAACCTACATTTCTTCGATACGCTCCCAGTCAGCAGAGGAGTTGGAACCTAAGGTAGTGATTCCCGAGGCATTGTCGGAACTAAAATTGTTAGATATTTCACCCGATAACTGAATTGAATTGTCATCATGTTTCTCAGTATCTTGTTCGTCTGAGCCGAGAATTTCTGCTGCTACTCGAGGGGTGAAGTCTTTGCTAAGTTGGAGGAAGGCAAGGTTTAGGATCTCGCCGATGGATGCGCCGCCAAGGACCTTGAGTACTGGCACATTTACCTGGAGGTTCTTAAGAAACCACGTGCGAATCTCAACCGCAATCAGAGAGTCAAGCCCCAGATCATCAGTTTGCAAGGCGAGAACTGCGTCCTCACTTCGACCTTCACTGGGGTCGAATTTGAGCAGATTCTGTAACTTCGCCAAGAAAGCATCTGCAGAGGGTTAGCCAACTTTTTGCAAAGGGAAGGATAGTCTCACCTTTCAAAATCCTGAATACTTCCTCTTTTGTCAAGGCTTCTTGGAGCTGAGTTTTGAGAGGAGCAGCAGCAACCCCAGTGCTTTTACCCGCATCGTTCGCAGAGGAATGAATGAGATGGTGGGAAAACCTTGGGTTGTTGAACCAAAGAGGCTTACGCTCATCTGTCATTTTGATATGAGACACGCCTGTGGAAACTTCGGGATCTAGACCCGAACCCTTACGGCCCGCAATGATAGCTTCTGCAAAGATCTGGTGGAAGGCCTGCTCGGGAAGCCACATATAACCCCCTTCTTTGATATCTTCTAGCGTGGCATTACTAACCTCGCGGGTAATATAACCAACGCCAACAATGACTCCTATGTTGATAACTGAAGCCGACAGACCACGCTTCCGTCGTTGAGCAGCGAGACTCATTAAAAAGGCGTTTGCGGCGGAGTAGTTGGATTGACCAAGATTACCAATCAACCCTGCCATTGAGGAAAAGTAGATGAAGAAATCCAAATCACGGGTACTAAATAGGCCTTCAAGGTTGATACTTCCCTGCACCTTGGGACCCAGAACATCAGCCATCTTTTTCAGGTCCATATTTGGTAAAGTCGAATCCTGGAGTACCATGGCTCCTTGGGCTACGCCGGCCACTGGCGGCATCGTCGTGGAAATTTCATTGTAACATTTGCGGAGATCCAGCATACTTGTCACATCGCTATGGCGAAGTTAGCGGTTTCTATATCAAGAGAAAAGTGAACTAAATATCGTACCAGGACAGCACTTTGACCGTTGCTCCTGCACGACGGACTTTCGCCAGCCACTTTTCATCAATCCGGGGCTGGCGATTTGACAGAACAACATATCTTGCACCTAGACGAATCATCCATTCACAAATGGAGAGCCCCAGGTCCCCAGTGATCCCAACCAGCCAATAGCTTCGGTCTGCTGCAAAGAGAGGTTTGAAATCAGCGGGTCTTATGGTTACAGGCAAGGGTTGAGCATTTTCGGCAGCCTGCCAAGCAATCACTGGCGCAGGCACCTCGTCCTTATTCAAGTCAGGAATACTGGTCAGCACAATGGTATTGTCATTAACATCAGCGCGGCTGGCCATATCGCTGTGCGCAAAGAAGCTGGCTGCATTGAGGCATTGCTGAAGGATGTCACTGATATTACCACGCGAGATATGAGTAACACGCTGGAAAATGCTGTCGGAAGATTCCTGTTTACAGCATCGGGGGATGCATCTCCGAATTACCTGTGCAGTTCCGCGCGAGTCGAGAGTACTCGAAAAGTCGACGAACTTCTGGATAGATGGCGGTAGCTTCTGACGGACGAACCGTTGGTGCAATCTGGGTGGTAAGAGAGTCCACTCACTCTCTTCCTGTTCATGGACTGTGGTAAATTTGACATTGATTCCCATAATAGCAGCTCTTCGAGAGACCACACTGGCTAGGATGGGATTGGGCTCGTGAAGGTGGAGAGTGTCATCTCGGGCGAGGTCAGAGACCAGATAAGTAGCAACGATATTATCCACAAGCGCACCAAAAAAGGGTGCCTCTGAGATGCCTTCAAGGGTAAGCGCTTTTGCTTGTGAACGAGGCAACGTAACAGTAGAGGCAGTTGTCTCGGAGAAAGCGATAAGGGCTCCCCCAGTCTCGTCGTCTGTACCAAGGAGAGCAAACAATTGACTACCATTACCAACCGGTATAGACAAAGCTGATGAGTACTTGACGTGCATTAACAACGATGACTCGGTTACATGTTCACGCATATCCCGTAGAAGGGAGCCTTTTTCTAGGAGGATCCGCGATCCCTCGCCTTCATAGACTGCGGAAAGAGCAAATTTCGACGGATCCACGTCCTCAAGAATCCGACGAGATGTAGAGTTATAGCGCCTGTTGGCGTCAATATTCTCGATAAGACGGGGGATGGCCACGCCATCGTCTGTATGGGCGATCTCCCACTCGGTCGACCAAAGCATCTCTTCAGATAAGTTTTTCTGTCCCAAGCCTTCCATCTGGTCACAAGCTCAAGTCTCAGCAATGCATCTGTGATCTCGCTAGCATTGGCGTTATCAACGTCGACGCTAGCGAGACGGATCTCTGGTACCTCCCAGAACATGGACCTGATGAATCCGACTGACATGTTTGCGTGGGGAGAGTGGGCGCGGCGGCCCTGAGTGAGCCATACAATGGCCTTTGCATTCTGAACCATGGCCTTCAAGCCATCCAACTTTTCTTGGGTCAGGTCTACAAAAAGTGGTTGGTCCAGGTCCGAGAGATTCAGGATGCTCGTCGTGGGGATGACATCTCGGGCCGTGATGGTCGTGACATCTCGGATGTGGGTCACGTGCTGGTACATGAGTTTACGAGGGGTTTGATCTGTTGGACCAGCCGAGAAGTCTTAAGCGAGGAGCCGCCAATGATTATAAGATCACCCTGAACCTTCTCTACAAAATCTGTGGGCGCAGTCGGGTTGTGAAATAGTGTGATGCGGTCGTCGACTGCTTGAGAGATCATAATAGGTGCTGGACTTGACAGTGTATCCATATCGTCAGTGATGGTGTCAATGCCGCTGAAGCCCGTGGCACGCAAAAGCTGGTCCCAGACCACAGGTTCGACACAAGGGGACAGGATCCGCCCGTCGCCTTCGCCTACCCACCAACCTGGAAGGGACCCATAGGTGAAGCTGGTTCGGATCGGCTCGTTGTCTGTCATCTCAGCGATGATCAGATACCCGCCCGGTTTGAGCAAATGGCGAACCTGCCGCAATGTTTTTTCAATGCTCGTGGTGGCGCGCAGAACAAACAATGCCACAACGAGGTCGTACGCATGTGCCGAGCAGCCCTATTCCAATACGTCCTTCTCAAGATCGAGGACTTTATAGGACATTCGGTCACTTTACTCCTCGAACCTCGCCTGGGCCTTCTCAAAAAAACCAGAAGAGACGTCGGTAAACTGATAGCTGCCAAAGGACCCCCCAATTTCGTTGAAGATGGCATGGGTGGCGTGACCCGTGCCTCCGCCAACCTCAAGAATCTTCATAGCCGGGTAGCGATGCGTGATTTGTTGGACGCCTCGGCCGAAATATTTGATGTAGGACCTCATTCCCAGGCTATGGGAGTAGAATTTTGCGAGAAGGTCATCTTTGAACAAGTGTTCAAGGATCGTCGTTTCGCCGCGCACAACGGCCGGTATGTTTTCTCCAGCAGTCTCGACCATTCTCAAGTCCAGGCAATTGTGGTGTTTTTGCTTGAGAAGACGGATTACTTCCTGGTCGTCGTGCATGTATTCTGGGCGAGCGTACTTGTGCTTTCCATTCAATACTTTGGCACGAATATGTGATGAGAATCGGAAGAGACCCTTGTATACGCCCTCGGTACGGGCAGGGTGGTCGAAAGGTATCTCACGCTCCCATTGATTCAGGTAATAAAGGCAAATTCGCTCAAGATCTCGCGCCAGTTCACACTCGTCTTCAGTGGCACGCCCGTCCCAGCAGACAGTACTCAAATCCGGAGTAACAGGACCCCAGATTGTGGTGTAGAAAACCTTCATATCGTCCTCAGCAGTGGCCTCGGCAAAGCGTACAAACTGAAGGCCTTGGACTTGAATCATGGCAGGCTCACCAGTTGGAGAGAAGATGTCCACGTCGCCGAATACACCCTCTCTGTTACAAGCGGTCTCGGCGGATTCGAAGGGAAGCGAGGCGGCATCTGTGAGATACTCGGCACACAGGGCTGGGTTGATTCGAATTGACTCGATCGGCTTCGGGACATGGATAGTAGATAGCCTTCCATCATCTGGATGACAGTACGCTAGTATGATTGCTTGAAATGCGGAATGCAGAAGGGCTGGATGAAGAAGCATAGGACGTTTTTCAGCATCAATAATGTTGCACACTACCCCAGAACCAATCCCAGCCTTTCTGCTAAGATCAGTAAGAGCGTGGAAGGGCCCAGTATATCCGAATCCGACATTCGACAAAGACGAGTAAAATCGGTCGCTGTCTATTTTACCATCATAGTCTCAGCTTCTTGACGAGGTGGAAGAATGTTTCACCAAAAAGAACTTTGAGGATCCCGCTAGCCTTCGGTGCGAGCGATTCTGCTTGTTTACCCACCGTTGCATAGATGGCAAAGTCAGCTTGTACCATATCATCGCCCTCATTGATATTGGTTAATGTGAACAGAGTCTCTACTGCAACATCATCCCGAAGGCAAGGGCGTTATGAATAGTGACATCTAGGACCTCAACTAGTTTCGCCATACCACTGGCGACCAGAATTTGAGATGCCTCTAAATCCATACATACGTAACCCGCCGCTAGAAAAACTGCTTGGCCTCGAACTTGATGATTGTCTAACCAAGGAAGTTCCCCCACCGATAAAAGATTGCGCCAACGGTAATGTTTGCCATCAGTCCCATCAGGGAGAAGATTACCGAGCAGTTCGTGCGTGAAGCCATTGCGCAGACGGAACCCTTTTGAAACTCGCGACTCATGCCAGAACTCACGCTCTTTTACCAGGAATATGCAGGAAGACCTTCCAACAAAGTCTTTTGACGAGAGCCACTGATGAGATCCTCATATCCCTTGATATTCACGGCATTCTCGCCCAGTTCTCTCTAAAGAATGCCCAGACCAGCGGAAAATGCCTCGAGGTCATTCTGGCCCCGTTGGAGAACGCCCGTATATGGCAAGCCCTTTACTCCTGATGATTTCTCGATAACTGTGAGAACCGGCCGCTTCAGAGCCGGATGTGGGTGAGCTAGCTAGTAATACAAAAGAAAACCAACACTAAGCCTCATTTAATGTAACGTGTACCGACTGACGAATGAACATAAATATATACTGAATATATATAGTGGTTAAAGTAGTAGTGTTCACGTTGGGTATACTAAGCGAGTTCGCAGTATGCACGTTAGATTAGGTTTTCGATATCATCGTCTGATTTGTATAGTATAAGGCCAGGGTTTGTATTCGGGCGACGGAACGGACTTAATCGGATAGGGCTACTATACCACAGCTAACAACCAACAACCAACAATCGGATCGAGTTCGTTCCGTAAGTATTAGATACATTTTACCCAGCCACGTGGATCGAACATAAGTACCAAATTATCTCCTTTTCTATTTTCCGGGCACAAAGTTTCCATCATACTGCAGTAGTTTCGTGCTACATGAATTTTTAGTCCAGGATCCGTTTCCCTTATCACATTTAATGCCTATCTTCGGTTCTACATAGCTCCTTTGACTCTCCTTGTCCACGCCGTAAAACATCAACCATTTTTCAACGGGAACATGTCTAAAAATGAGAATATCTTGGCCGAGCTTGGGTCACGATTGTCATCGGGTGCATCAATTGTACTTCCCAACAATACAGAATTCGCCAACCTTACATCCAGATGGCGAGAGTATGATGCTCCTAGCATCAATGTTGTAGTTGAAGTTGCCAATGAATCCGACGTCCAACAAACCGTCCTTTACGCCGCTAAGCACGGTATCCCTTTTTTTGCCAGGTCTGGAGGTCATGGTGCAACCGGAGCACTTATCCAGGCAAGAAACGCTATTCAGATTGACTTTCGCTCTTTGAATCATATCGCACTTTCTGAGGATGGCCAAATTGCCACGATTGGCGGCGGTGCCAACGTTGCTGATACCGTCAACAAATTTGCTAGTTTGGGGAAACGAACAGTCACTGGAATATGTGAGTGTGTCGGATTCTCTGCTCCAGCTCTTGGTGGCGGGCACGGCTGGCTTCAGGGCCAGTATGGACTCATGGCCGATCAAGTAACCTCAGCACGCCTTGTCCTTTCGAATGGTGAGGCGGTCACTGTGTCGGAAAAATCCAATAAAGACCTCTTCTGGGCCATCAGGGGAGCAGGACATAACTTTGGCCTCGTAACTGAGTGGGAATATCATGTTTATGATGACAATCCCTCATGGTCCTACGAGACCTTCGTCTATACAGGAGACAAGCTTGAGGCTCTCTACAACCTGGCAAACAAGACTATGCGAGATCAGCCACCGGAGCTTGTTCATTGGGGTTACATCATTAAAGTAGCAGAGATTGATCCCTGACCATGTCAGTACCACTCTTGCGTTCCCTTTCTGTGCGAACTCAAAAAGGCTAGTTATTTTATAGCCCGTCCTCTGGTTTGGAATTATCTATAATGGCTCACCAGAAAAAGCCTCCTAGTACGCCAAACCGTACCATGACATTGGACCACTGAGTGTACAGACTGGGCAAGGAACACTGCATGATCTTGCTGTTCTAACCTTCCAAGTAAGTTCAACAATTTGGTCGAACATGGCCGTTTTGGGAATCAGAACGAGTATTGAAAATGTCAAGTCAATTCTAACACCTTGGCATCAGGACAAAAATGGCCCAGGTTGCGCTTACGGGTTGACCTCCCGTCATTATCCGATCGTTTTACAAACATACAATGTGACTGCCGTCAGAGAAGTGTACAATGAGATTGACTCCACATTCAATAAGGTCCCCGAGGTTGCCGACTACTTTTTCCTTCTTAAGGGTTACTCAACCCAGGCAGTGAAAGCTATCGATCCAGACAGTACAGCTTTCCCGCACCGGGACGACAATATTTTGGTCACGTCTTACATTCAGTACAAGCCCAACTCGACCATAGATCCCCTCGCGCAGGAATTTGGTGAAAAGATACGAAAATATTTGCTTGTTGGGAGCGAGGATCCAGAATACCTCCGAGCTTACGTCAACTATGCTGATGGTACCGAGTCTTTGCACGAGTTTTATGGCTGGGAGGCATGGAGAATAGAGAAGTTGAAGAAGTTGAAGGCTCAATGGGATCCTCAGAACAAGATGCGGTATTATGTCCCAATTGAATAGGAAGGAAAGTGGATGTTCGTCAGCAAATGACATGACCAGCTACTTTTCATATTTTAGCCGATAGTTCAATCCATAGTTCAGCTAAATGAATGCTTCTATTCTATTTCATGTTCCCAGAAACTTTCTTAAGCAAAATTTTGATGACCGAAAAGAAAAGTTGTCCCTGGTCATATCTCGCTTATTTCTACGAAGGGACCCGTCAAAACAAACCTCACCGTCGACATCAGCAATTCAACTGCCACTTACGACTACCATGGGCCGAAGGGAATTGGGCATCTCGCCAGCACTGTTATACACAAGTCTTGAATCGGCAGAGTAGTAATTACGTAGGTGATTACCAGCGAATACCTGCATTGGTATATTTTGCTTTTTGGCTCTTGGCAATGCAGCTATCCGCAGCAGGCACGCCCAATTTGATACTCTCCTCGCTTATTGAATCCCGTCTCCGTTACTCGAGTAGCCCCCTTGTTAAGCGAGAGGCAAGAGTCGTGGCCAAGAAACTAGATCAACGACGCAGGCTTCACAATAACGTAGTTAACACCGACAAAGACGACTTAAACTGCCGCGAGTCTATGTATCGAAACGATACAAAGATATCTTTTCATAAGAAGTCTGTTGAATATAGAGATTTATAAGAGAAGAATTAATTTATGCCTATGTTACTGAGTTTCGTATTATTCTCACCATAAATTTCAATCTTCTAGTATATCTTGAGAATTATTAACTACTAAGCTTAACTATCTAGATTATTAGTATTCGCTAAAAACTACTAATCTCCCTAAAGAAAGCTCGATTACTAGCGATTAAGAGGGGTTCTTATTAATTATTATCTAATTATTAAGGGCCTATTATATAGTATAAATTTATAGGTTCTTAATTACTTCTAGTTTTACTATTAAATCTCCCGATTTTAAAAGACGTTATATTTAATACTATATTATAGATTTAGGCCGGAAATATATAAATAAATTATAGCTTATATTAAGAAGTAAAGTTATATAAAGCTTTAATTATAGACGTAAGCTTTTACGGATTTTAAACGATTAGTTCTCTAAAAAGAGGCTAAAGCAGCCTTTTCTTTTGTCTATTATTCGAGGGTTCGCAACTCTTTCCTTCCTTTTTCCATAAATTCCCGACGGGTCTAAGATAAGTAACTTGTAATCTTCGAAGTATTTTGGCCTCGCCGTGTACGGCACCATAGCTCCTAGAGCATGCGGGACACTTTCGCGGTAGTAAATGATGTGCCGAAGAGAGTTTTTTTTTCTTTCGTGAACCTAGCTGAGTTTTATTCAGCATCTGCGTTAGAGAAAAGCGGACCATATTACAATTACTATAAAGGTTCGGAAAAATAGTTTCTGATACAGCATTCGTCGAATCTTTGTCCGAAGTAATTTAGAGAGTAGTAGTTGGGAAGAAAAGAACCTGAGTTTGGCAGCGAATAGTACTCAAACTTTCCGAAATTTTCGCAGACGGGCTGTGTAAATGAATAGGCTATAATCTCGTCTGTTATGAATATTGTACTCGTATCTGCAGCAAGTTACACTAAGAGGTTGTTGGGATACCGTCGCGCCGCCATTGAGCAAGAATTACTTTTGAAGCACGTATTTAGAAGCATCTAGTTTCACATTAATTACGTCGTTAATGATACGGGGTTGTCAAATAAACGCATGAGCGAGCCCTGTGTGGGTTGATCAAACAGAAAACGGGGGAAGGGGTTCATCAGGATTCTATTTTACTTCGTAGAAGTCTAGTACGGTTCCTTGGCTCGCTGGGCTAGAAGATTTCCCATACTTACTCCGTACATCCTTGCGTGCTTTACGAGCGCTTTATGCGACGTGTGGGGCTGCCGAGACTCGATTTATAGGCGTTCTGTGATCTCCAGTACTACGAGTAGGTATAGCTCCTGTGACGCCACTTGACCTATGTAATTTACAAGTAAGTGACTCGAAGCATAAACAAGACATTTATCTACCACGCCCCCCTACCACATCCAACTATTTTTCCGAAGCACGATTTACCACGCTGGGCCACCTTGTTTCTAATTACGAAGTAAAAACGCGACGTGGCTTAAGGTATGATTCCCTGTACCAAGAACATTTGCCGTAACTCTACCCACTTTTCTAATTTGAGTTGTTTTAGATGCGGAAAGAATAACATATATAATGGAGTGGTCTTCCAAGCCCATATTCTCAAGTATTCCACTGCATTAGCCGGTCATTCATCCACAGCCACAACAATCTTCTCATTTCAGGAATTCTCACAGACTTCAATATGTTATTCAACTTCCTCTTAGTCGCAAGCCTTCTATCATCGGTGTCATCAGTCCCAGTTGCAGCGCCCCAAGGAGACCCTGCCCCATTTCCTGATGATGGTATCTACCGTTGGGCAGTGACAGAATTGGACGCTAAGTGTTCAGCCAGCGTCTGTTCCTATCGGTTCGTACTCACAGGATTCGAATTCAAAGTTGTCGGAGGTTCATTTGCTCGTCCATTCGAGGCTTCCTGCAAAGCCGACGAAGCGGCTTCCCTTAGTCTTACCGCATGCCAACTCAGAGATTCGGGAGACAGCACTAGAAAGGTCGCTGCGAGAATAATGTCTCTTCCACGGGATGGTGCTAAAAATGTTCAAATTCAAGCGAGCTATGAATTTTTGGATACATCCACACTGCGGAATTTCACCAGCGCTGGTACCGAAGTTACTATTCCAAAACCCCCACGCTCATTCAATATCGACAATATCAAAGAGGAAACTAAACAGGTCTGAGACCCTGGTCTGGTTGATGATAACGCCACGAAACATTTCAATTGCGTATGTTGACGCACTGCTGGGCGGTTAGGGGGATAAGCAGATAAAAGGAGTCGCGGAAGAAGGTGATAAGGGTCTGTTTCAACAATAAGGGCGTCCGTCCCTCGAAGATACCCCAATTGAGTTGTTGGTTGCTTGATCAAGCAAAGGAAGGAGAGGTTGTCGGCTTTAGAGGTTAGTTAGTCTCAAGAACAATAGAAGAACATTCAACTTTGCTATAGAAAGATATACCTTGTATATCCCCGCCGACCATGTGCTCGTGCGAAATGAACAGTGTATCGTCCTTAGGGTCTTCAAAGTAAGATGGTAATTGCCTTGAACCCCTCTTTCTAGAACGGTTAGCGACGGATAAAGTATGAGCTGAACAAACATACCACAATTTACGGCTATGCATATCACCCACTATGCTATATCTGGCCCTCGCTTACGAAGCGCGTAGTAGTGGTCTAGCAAATGAAGCATGAAAATCAATTTACTATCCAATGAAAATAGTAACAAGTCGCGCTACGTTCTGGTTGAGGTTACAGCTAATAAAGATTCAAGTCTTGGCATGAAATTACATGCGAACTGAATAATTTTACATCACGTGACCGAACCTTCAAAACGTGATATCGAAAGTGCGTTCTCAAACCTAAAGGTTACAGCACAACATACCTACGGCAGCATATAATAAGATCTTATACCGAGCCCCCGACATGTGAAGAAATTTCCAAGAATATCTATACAGCACATCTTAATTGAAATCGAGTTAGGGAGGGGAGTTATCATTTGATGCGGAACAAATCCGAAGTGGAGTTCCAATTTGCTATACATGTTATGAGGAACAGAAAGAACCTCGGATCTCCTGGGAGGGGAGAATAATTGGCTGACTACAACTCGCTCTCTTACTTTCTTCTGCCTCCGCACGCAGCTTCCATAGTCAGATTGCCGGAAGTAACTCATTTGATGTAATTTTACTTCAGCGTAATACTTCCATGGGTTAGTTCTTGTCTCGTTAGATGGGAAAAAGACACAAGTAGCTTGTTACGACAACTTTTAGGCCGAAAATTGGTATTATCTCGTCTCCCAGTGACCTGTGCTTTGCTTATAACAAGTCACACCTTCATCGAGATTGAAGTAATGGAAGTCACGTGATAGATCCTGTTGATGAAAGCTGGAGTACCTACGTTGCACAGCGCATCATAGTTTACAGGGTCAGCGCTGCTTCGTGGCGCCACCTTTTGAATTATGCCACCATTCTTACGGTCTTTGAATCTTGAATTGTCTTTTCCCAAATTAATACTGAAGGAGATTTGGGTTGTCCACAATCCGGCAGATCACAAAGCTACTAGACTACTACCCCGCCTTGTAAGTGTCACTTGAATAATGTCCAATGAGATTCTCACAAGCCATGTATTACGTCGAAGTGGGCATGAGCGATTTGGGTGACTGAGCTTTGAAATTTTACCGTCGGATATAGTTCCTTCACCGAAGAGCTGAAAGACCTATTGGTAAGCATTCAATATCTCCGACGTCACAATCTCCAACCTCAAAATATAAAAATCCCGATTCCCGCCATTGAATTTACTAAAGTAGGGAAGCCCAACAACACTAACGATGTCCGAGAATATCGTTTTGTACGATCTCCCCAGTAAACAGGGGGTTTCATGGTCTCCGAACCCCTGGAAGACCCGTCTCTTGCTCAACTACAAGAACCTCCCCTACACGACTCAATGGGTGGAATATCCCGATATCGCACCTCTCTTTAAGTCTTTCGGTATACCACCAGCTTCAGATCCAAATGATACTCCATATACAATTCCAGCACTTCGTACTCATGATGGTAAATACATCATGGACTCCGCCAAAATCGCAAGCTATCTTGAGGAACAGTATCCAAATCCACCATTGCCATTGGATATTCCAGAGGAGACGGAGCTATCCAAAATTTTTGGGGGAATTGCTGGGCCAATGAGGGGTATATGGATGCCTTGTGTTCCGAAAGACTTGCTTAATCCACCATCTGTGGAGTACTTTACCCGAACCAGAGAAGAGGTATTCTGCGGGGGCAAATCTATGGAGGAGTATGAGAAGAGCCAAAATCATCAGAATATATGGGAAGAGGTGGAACCAGCGCTAAAAGGCGTTGGAGACGTTCTCAAGCGGAAGGGAGGACCATTTGTGCATGGAAAGGAGGTTAGTTACTGGGACCTGAAGCTGGTCGGTTTCTTGCAGTTCATGAAGACCGTGCAGGAGCCGTTGTTTGTGAAAATTATTAGCATCGAACCTGCTTTGGGGAAATTGTATCAGGCTTGTGGGAATTGGGTCAAGAGGGATTCATTTTAATATTCATTTCGTTAGTTAAAGGTTCGGAATTGGAGTTGTCTAAAACAACATAGTTTCAAAATAATGAGATTGATTATTGGGATGAATAATGGTTCGAATTGCTTCACACATTTACACAGCTTGTAGTCAGTCTCACGACGGGTTCTGGAAGGCGTCCCAAAGCGTGGAGGGTCAATACCCAGCTTAGCAAGAACTAGGCATTGTCAAGCCTGGATCAGAGCTACACGTGTTTTGTGGAAGTGTTCTAGGGTCCAGCATCGAGAAGAAAATGTTTTCAATGAATGCAACATGTCTATTCGAAAAGGGATTGGCCCTTGGATGCATTCTAAAAATCAATTCCCATATATTAGTAATACTGTTGGTTTGACTTTTTTAGTCAAGTGGGTGATGCAAAAGACCTATATTACTAAAGGTAACAACTAAGTCTAAGGTTGCATTGTCCGAGTAAGTGTAGCTAGCTAAGTGCCTACGTATTTATAGATGCTATAGTACGCTAGTGGAGCACGCTAGTCCCGAAGGAGCAGCTACTCTCGAAGCTAACTAATAATTATCCACTATTATAAACCGACAAATAGGAAGTAACACAATTGTGTATTAGTAACAAACGTCGGGGGAATTTTGGGCCATAATGTAGAAATATCCTTTAATCTCAAGGTGGACGAGTTGATTAATGAAAGGAATACCTCTTCCCCATAAGTGAACCATACTATGTAATCTCCCTAGCGTAGAAAGTTATTTAATTGAATTTGATTAATAGTACTTAATTAAATTAAATTAGAGTAATATATCGATTAACTAAATTGAATCCCTAAGTAACTTATATATAAAAGAAGATTTTTAAATTATTTAAAAGTAATATATTACTAAATAAAATACTTATTTAAAAACTTAAAAGAATAATTCCTACTTAAGTACTACTTATATTTTATTAGTTTATTTAAGCTATACTTATCTAATTATTTTATTTATTAGAATTTTAGTATATTATATAATACCTTCTTATATAGTATATATAAAATAATAATTAAATATTTTATTCCTATAACTTATATAAAAGAAGTTTTTTATTATAATAATATATCAAAACCTAGATAGAAACTAGGACTTAATACTCTAACCTAGTAGTTAATATGTCTAAGTCTCGATGCTTATATCCTGACGCCATCGTACTACAAACCCCTTTACCCCACAAACCCCCCACAAAGACTAATGGCAATCAAAATCACAAACACGACATATCAAAACACAACATATCAGTCCCCAAAAACGCATTCAACTTATCTCACCAACCCACATACCTCGTGCCAGCCCTCCAACAAACAACCCTTAATAATATCCCTCGCTATTGTCGGCAACGAAGAAAAAGAAATATCAAGTAATGTACGTACCGACATGCCACGACCTTTTCCAGACTCTGCATCATACCAGAGCAGAGTAGAGAGGTTGTGTTACAGTAAAATACTTCCCCCATATCGCTTCCGAAGAACCGGTCTGTCACCTCACCAGACACCCGGGATCTGATAGATTTCCCAAGCGAAAAAGATAATGTGAACGTACACCTGAGAGGAGGGAGTGAGATGGAAAACTTATGATGTCGGAGGACCGAGACAGAGGGAAGCGAAGGGGAGATGGGGAGATGAGGAGATGGACAGGGCTAGATGAGTCGATTAGTTTACATCAAAGGAACTCTCGTCCGAGTTGACATTGGAATTGTTTGATCAAGAGAGGAGAGATGGAGATGGGCGTCACACAGAAGCTTCGGGAAGGTTGGTGCCGAGTGTATCCAAGGGACCTAACCAGAGAAAGTCGACGGGAATGTTCTGTGGATGTTGTGCGATGGTGTTGATGTGGTACGTACCAACGAAGAAGGAATAGATGGTGGAATTTATGGGGAACCCTGAGCTGTCACGATGTTGTAGAAGGTTACTTGTCGTACCATTTTGGTTTTCCCTGCGTTTGATGGATGCGGTCGTGTACATGGACTTGACGAGGTGGCGCCACGGAGAATAAGAGAAACAATTCATCGGGCATGTCTATCGATCTGTCGTGGAGGAAAAAATCTCCGGCTGGGCTGCGCTGAAGCAAGGTAGGTGATGGTGTATAGGGTTGGAGTGGGGATAGAATGTCCACATTAGGATAGATGGAGGCGAACACGTGATGAGTAAACACAAAAGCTGCAAGTATGGTTTCGATAATCAAGTCGAGGTAGTCAAGAGGGAGAGGTATAGATTGGTGGTAATCTTGGATATATACCGTTCCCTCCCTTGACGCCCTTGGATTTGATGTTATGTTGTATTTCCCGTGTTTTTGTAGGAGAGGGATGGGTAGTTACCCCGCCGTCCCTTACCGGTTCTATGCGCGATGCATCAGAAGCAGCGGTCAGCATCCAGAAGGTAAGTAAGAGTCAATCCTTGGTTGGTTCATGGCGTATGGTAAATGAAGAGGTCTTTGTAGAGTACTACAGTCTTTCCCCTCCTGCTTATCGATAGCAGTTGCATCGACGTTACCCCATTACCAGACCACTTCCCCTGTTGTTTTTTCTTTCCGAAATCCGGGAGAGGGTAAAAGCTGGGCAGGGTCGTTGGAGGGTTGTCGTACAGAGATCAGCGATGATCAAAGAACATCTCCCGTTATTTCTCGCCACAGGACATCTTGGGCGTAGAGTACTCGTACCGCGTATTCTGGTGGTTTACCCGTCCTACTTTGGGCTGGGAGGTGACATGTCGGTATTCAAAGGATTTACCGCCACGTGGAATCGGCCATAGACTCCATGTCATTGCATGTCATTGGGAGATGGCGGTAGAGCGGTGGTCCTTATCTTCCCAAGGAGGCAGGCAGGCTGGCGGGCGGGCGTCTAGGCAAGGTTGCAGGTGAGGTCCAGAAGGGAAACATGTGAGAGGGATCAATGGATGAGAGGAGTCTTCTTCATCTCAACACCTGTAACCTCGGATGTTGGAAGGTCCATGAACTCTCGCATCCACGGTTACGGGAACATGTCGATTTGACTGGCTTCTGGTGAAGGGGGAGGTTTGTTGGGTGTTGGGTGGTGTTATGTTCACGTACCGGCCATTACTATAGTCTTTTTCGCAACCCCACCCGCTGTTCTTGAATCTGGGATATCCATGATGCATGGATGAAGGATGTTATTGGATAGGGATGGCCGTGTCATCACACTCACACTCAACCGTTTTTGGCTATGTAGGATGGAAGTTGGGACAAATGTGATGATAGTGTAGAAGAAAGCGTCTCTCGTAAACGGAAGAAGAAATGGTTGCAGGAGGGTTCACCAGGTTCGTCCAATCTAGACTCATATCTGATATGATGATATCCCTCGGAGCACGGACATGACCCATGCCATGTCAATATGGTCCAGTATGGTCCAGTCTGGTCCCATGTGAATCCACAACCAAAATCAGACTTACACCCGTTTCGTTTGGCCATGACAGAATCACACATCGCTTCACTGTTTTTATGAAGCACATCAAGTATGAGTACTCGTACACCATCAACCAATCCCCGCCCCAACGGCTATTGATGGAGGGTGTCTGTAGCTAAACGATGGTTGCCTCTCCACCCAATGGCCGTTGCGAGACAGAGTCATCGAAGCCTTTCTCCGTTGACTTCTCCTAACATCACCATCTACCTGCACCCTCCACCCTCCACCCTTCACCCTCCACCCCCACACATTCTCCGAAGGCATGACTCCTGACTCCAATGTGACTGAGTTCTATTGCACCACCTTCCAACCTTCCATTTCCATCCTGTTGCTAGTGAGTGATTCATTAGAATACGAAGATGTGACGATGGAGACTCGTCGTGGGGTTGAGGCAGCCGCGACAGCCACACCGATGGCGCACCGATCGCTTAAAGGTCCTTAGTTGAGCTGCCGCTGCCGCTCGCTGCCTTGCAGCCCCTCTATTGACGTGACTACCCCTCCATCAGCTCTTATCTGCACCACCACCACCACCGCCTATACCACACCAAAATAGGTCGAGTCGACTACCTACACCTGTACACCTCTACACCGCTCACTCACACTTTCTCCCGACCAAGACTTTAGCAAGATTCCAAGCAACCAAGGTTCCGAGGTTATCATATGCTCTACATATGTAAGATGAATATGAATGCGGAATCGCCCTCGCAATCTTGGTCCCAACATCCTCATCACACCGTAGCTAAGATTGTGTAGAAGGGGGTCTGATGTCGATAGTAGGCTGTAGGCGCATCAACATCTGCAGCCCTCTGCACGTTCATTCTGAAGCAACTCTTCCGACTGGTAAGAGGTGATGTTCTGCTTGCCATCACACCTTTCTCCACCCACCCTTGACGAAAAGGGTTGCGACTATACTACCTAGCTAGGTAGCTAGGTACCTATGTAGGCGGTAGGTAGTGTAAGGTAGAGTAGAGTAGGTAGAGTAGAGTACCCTATGGCTTCCACTCTGGCTGCAGCTTCAACGGGATGCTTCCACTCTGGCTGCAGCTTCAACTGGATGCGTCCACTAAAACGACTTTTCTTCTGCTTCCATTGGAGTGTCCTCGACAGGTTCAGCATCTCATAGGCTCGACGTAGCCAAACTCGTCCACTTGGTGTATTTGTCTACAGCAATGGGCAGCTGGATACCGTTGCCTTTGGTACATTGTTACCGTGGCATACTACCCCAAGATACAGCGTTGCCGTAGAATACCGGCAAGTGGTAGAGTGACTATATAGGTGGTACCTACCTCAAGATACCGTGTCACCCTACCCGTACTAGATACTAGATACAATGGCTACCCCATATACTGTGGCTACCCAAAGTTACAGCGGCAGTGGCTACAATGTTACACTGTACAGTACCTACTGCTACCTACCGTTGTGCTCTTCCCCACCCCTGCCACCCTCCAGGCTGCTACGACCCCTCCTGCCTATGCCCCTCCATCCCCTTCGTCCCCCCATGCCCTCTTCATCCGTGACCCCGCCCTTCGTTCAGGCCAATCTAGGCCACCGTGCGCCTACGCCTACGCCTACGCCTACGCCTGCACCTGCCTGCACCTGCCTGCACCTGCACCTGCACCTGCACCCAACGACCGCCGCGTTTCCCATCCCAGGAATTTTTCCTCATTTCGCATATCTGACCACAAACTCTTCACCAGCGTCACCTCTTACTTCTGGCCTCCCTCTCTCCTCCTCTCCTCTCTCCTCTTCTCTTCACGATGACCGATACCATTCACCCTCCTCCCGCAACTACTGCCACGACCACTGCCACTGCCACTGCCACTGCCACTGCCAACAACACCACCACCACCACCGCCACCAACGATGCCTCGAGACGCCAGCCCCAGTCCTCCTCCTCTCCCTCCAGTGCCTCCGAACTCGCCAGTCAACAGATAAGCCTCCGGGCCGCCCTTCGTCAGTTTCCCGACTTTCCCATCCCCGGCATCGACTTCCTCGATATCCTACCCCTCTTCTCTGACCACCAACGCCACACGAGTCTGATCCGCGCGCTCGAACTACAAGTGCTGGCCATGAACCATGGAGTCAAGCCAGATCTCATCGTCGGCCTGGATGCGCGAGGCTTCCTCTTTGGGCCCAGTCTAGCCTTGCGCTTGGGGGCTGGCTTCGCGCCGGTCAGGAAGCAAGGAAAGTTGCCGGGCCCCACGGAGACGGCCAAGTTTGAGAAGGAGTATGGTGCCGATGGGTTTGAGATTCAGAAGGATGCTGTGAAGAAGGGGCAGACGGTCTTGGTGGTGGATGACATTATTGCTACGGGTGATTATCTCTTTCTAAAGAATATTTGCTTCTCATCTTCTAACCCCTCACAGGTGGTTCTGCTGCCGCCGCCGGTCAACTGGTCCAACAACTCGGGGGCAACCTCATGGGATATCTCTTTATTCTCGAAATCGACTTTCTCAAAGGGAGAGATAAGCTGAACGCTCCTGTCTATACGTTACTCCGCGAGGATTTCAAAACCGGAAACTAGTTCTTCCCCTAATATCCCCTCCACGTTTTTCCTTTCCACATTTTTCCTGCGGAGTTTCTCGGTCGGTCGGCATCTTTTTTCCACCTTTTCGACATGTAGACGCATTTCTGCGTGGGTTTCCTGCAACCTCGATCTCCACGACAGGATTCCCTCTGGAATATTTGGCAATGAACTGGACGATATTGGCTCAATGGATGAGCGCAAGAGTGGTTATTTACGGTTGATCATTTGAGATTTGTAAATACTGGGGGTCATTAATGGGGCATGTGAATACAGGGCGGGGCCGGATAACGCCGCTGGTGCTTTTTACCCCTCCTCCCACTTTCGGAGGTGGAGGAAGGGCCGATGGATGACTGGATGGAACATGGATGGAAGGGAGGATTGATATAAAAAAGCATCTCCTTCCCTTTTTTTCTTTTTTCTTTCTCTTTTACACAAAATCAATTCTAGAATAATGAATACAATGCACCCGCGATGGGATTCAAGATTCCAGATTCAACATTCAACATTCCCACTTCGCTTAGCTGGTATGAATGAACTGGGTGCAAATATCTGTCGCCGAATGAATCGACTACCTATCTACCAGGTATCGCACAGTAATCCTACGTACGTCATCTGAAAGCAAGACTATATCCGTAGGTAGGTAACCTCCTTATAGGTAGCACAGTAAAGGTACAATCCCGTATCGATGATATTATATACCTAAGCTATACTATACTGTATCCCGTCCTTCCACCTTCCCTAGGTAGGTAAACTCTTAACTAAGGTACACCCCGTATAAACCCTTGATGATCCCTTAATGATCCTATTGTATTCCGAAGGTAGGTGGGTAGGTTGGTTGGTAGATTGGTAGGTAGGTTGGTAAATATCCTTTATATTAATTATTGTACTCTATGATATTTTGTAGTTCAAGGGAAGGGTTTAGGGAGGGAGGGGGTTAGGTAGGGGTTAGGTGGGGAGGGGTTGGGATGGAGGGGTAGGGATGTGTATTTTTGATGGTTCGGTGGTTATAGTTAGGTAGTTATAGGGATTAGTAGGTAGGGATAGGTAGGGAGAAGGAGGAAGAGGGATATAGAGGGATATAGANGATGGAGGGGTAGGGATGTGTATTTTTGATGGTTCGGTGGTTATAGTTAGGTAGTTATAGGGATTAGTAGGTAGGGATAGGTAGGGAGAAGGAGGAAGAGGGATATAGAGGGATATAGAGGGAGGGAGAGGGAGGGAGAGGGAGGTAGTAGGTTATAGGTTATAGGTTGTTTGGGGGGGTATAGGTGTGTATTTGAGGAATTTTGGGAATTTTGGGGTGGTGTGTTTGGATGGAGGGGAAGGGGAAGGGGGGAGGTTGTGTCACGAATCACGTGCTCACGTGATACTTGTCATAATAAAGAGGCGCAACCCTCGACAGGCACATCCAGGTTTCTTATAGCAAATAGGGATGCTTAGACTAGCTAAGCGATCCAGGGATTTCCTTCGTATCTTATCACGTGACTAGTTGGACCGACTGGACCGACGATCGGTCTGAACTTCTGGAACGACAGGACCGACCAGCGGTCCTGGCAAAGTACAGGAAAGTGAAGGTTCTATATAAGACTGGCATGTCTGCCATTAGATAGGAGCTTCGTGCTCAATTTAGTTATCAATCTTATCATATTAGTTTGACATCTTTGATACAAGTAACGAGTTCACTTCCAAGTGAACNGTCTGCCATTAGATAGGAGCTTCGTGCTCAATTTAGTTATCAATCTTATCATATTAGTTTGACATCTTTGATACAAGTAACGAGTTCACTTCCAAGTGAACAACCCGATAGTCTTCTTCTTATCATAGCATACCAACCAGCGAACACCCAGCCAAGTTTAGTTAGCCAGTTTGAGTATTCGTTACAGGGTGTTAGATGGATGGACGGATGGGAGTTTGTGGGGTTTCTGGGGATTGTGGGGATATTGGGTAGGTGGATGGGGAGATGGGGACGCGGTTATATATATGGGATTATGGGATTAGAAGGGGTGCTGTTTTTTTGATGGTGATATTGGTATGTAGTAGGTATATTATATTATGTTTATGAATGAGAATGAGAATCCTTGGATATAGGAGATGTATGAGTATTATTATAGTAGTATTACTATAGAGAGACAAAGGAATCAAAAAGGAATGAAAGGAATGAAAGGAAGGTAGTAAGATAATCATGGATTGTTAAGGAGTGTTAAGTAGTTGTGTCTGAGTACATTTCCGTGAGACATTCGAATGAACAGGTGGGTTTAATAATGTGATGTAAACAAAGGGGTCGGGTACGAGTATAATATAATGAATATATTTATACTCTAGATCTTAGAAAATAATAAAGGAAGTATACAGTTTGTTGCCATCTAACATGGTAGATAGTTTTCATCGCTATGGAAATGAGTGTGGTAGAGTTGACGAAATACAAGCTCTGAAACTTGGGGAAAAGGGAAAAAAAAAAAGGATTTCAATCTTATAGATACGTTTCAACGAGATCTAAAGGGTACCGGGCTGTAGGTAGAGTACGTCGAAATCCTTCCGTGGGAAAGATCTAGATCTAGATCTTGGAAGGTATAATTCAACATGCTGCTTAGAAGCAACCTAACATTCCATTCTGAAAGACCACAGTCCATCCACATTATGACACTGATGAGAGCTGAAGGCAGTCTTGGCTCCGCCGTCACAGTTGCCGCCCGGATATCCTCTAACTATATTTTAACCAGTCAGTACCGAGAAGCAAGCGTTGAAAGTCATCTTGGGTTAAGACGCGCGTGGGGAGCTGATCTTACTTTTGCACCCCTCTACATGCTCGATGACCTCTAGATCCTTGTCTGTAGAGTACAACGGTTGGCAAGAGCCTCTGCTAAATTCCCGCACGGGTCCGCCGTTGCCGGAGCAGCTGGTTCCGGGGTGTCTTTTGATTTTGAAATCCCAGGCCGTGGCTGTGGAAGATAGGATGGCGGAGGTTGTTATGATGGCGGTGAGGAGGTTGGTGATGTGCATGGTGAAGTTTGGTTTGTTGGTGTTGGAAGTGTTGATTGTTTGGTGGCTTGTGGTGGGATTGGGGCAGAGGGGTTAGGTGAAGAGGTGGATGTTGATAGAGTGAGAGGGGGATTTGAGAGGGGGGATAGGGGGGTCTTTATACTTGATTGAATGGCGTATTGAGGGTATGTCTTTGGTGTGGCATGAACATGATTGGAATTGTGAATACGCGTATTGAGCGGGAGACATGCCCATTTTACGTGTATGCTACTGTAGAACGATCCTTCAGTTGAAATTTGGAAGTGGCCAATCTGGATCCCTTCCTATCCTATTTACGTTGTAGGATGTTTTCTCGTAAATGCAAAAGTGATATGCTGACCAGCGAGCTAGAGGCATGGATTAATCCTAGCTAGTAACTTTACTACCTATTATGTGTTTCCAAAGCACACACGCCACAGCTCTCAAAATAACGCACAAAGCAACGACGTTACCATGATTTCCTTGTGAAACGAAGCGGTCACGCCACTGGATGTACTGAGCTTAGAATTATCGTATTGTAAAAGCCTTATATACCTGAAATATAGTTTAGAATCATTACGAGTTATAATTCTTTATTAGCCTAATAATAAGTATACTACGACGATCAAGACGTTCAATGTAATGAATACGTGTGGTTGGTACAGAGTAATGACCTGATTTCTTAACTAATATCTTAGTAGTGTGACAAGAACTGGGAAGAATAAAGGAGCCTCCCTGCGCTGCAATCAGCCCTTTCCCTCTGTTAGATAATGATAAAGACTTTGTTTTCGCTAGTTGAGCTTCAAAAGTGCTTATTTACTGTCACCGAGTGGACAGTTGAGCCTTACCATGGCAGCGATAGACCCAAACGTTTTTCAAAAGGAAGGACGAGTGACATTTGTAGAACTAGGTGGCGCTTCAGTTGGGCACTCGGGGGCTTACTTGCAGCATTGAGGAGCAGTAGTACTACATACTCTGAGTAAGATAATCGTAATACGAGGCAAAGGTGATTTTTCTGACGTCAAATTCATCCTCTCATTCACCTGTAGAAAACAGAGAATTGATCCAATATTCAGCATTGTAGATGGTTTGTCGGATAAGTATAGTGCTAAGTTAGGCTGAATTTTGGATTACGTAACAAGCGAGGGGACGTAGACAAAACAGCCAGATCTTGGCGTCTGCGTGAGATTTATGTAAATTTCTTCATAAGCCCGATTGTTTTTATAGATAGGAAGTCATATTTATGTAAATGTCTCGCTAAGACTTATGTCTTTTGATGATCGGTAAGGTATTGGCGTCTAGTATTAAGGTTATATTCATTCTGAATGTTTTACCACGACCTCACCTATTATTTAATATGGGCAATACTACTACTTTGATAACACTAGAACACTGAAGCCTGAACCAACATAGCACAAGAAGCGCTAGAAGAAATGTAGATAATAAACAATCTGCAAAGTAATATTTAAAAGACAGTGCCCAGCTCTCTAGTGTCCACCCTAAGTCGCTGACTTTCGAGGTCAGCACGTCATCTCAGGTATCATTATTGTGTGTTTTGATATCAAGGCAAGGCAGAATTGCTGTTGTTCGTCAGATCTTCTCCACTGAGAGTTAAACCTATATTTGGTAAGATTCGAACTCTGCCTAGCAAAGTGTGGCGTGAATGATGCGTCATATCTTGAAAAGAGCGAGAACATCATTAGCAAGACCAAAAACAATCCTCTTGTCGGTTCTGGTCACAACATTAGTACAGTACACAGCTCTCTTAAAATAAAACTAGAATCTCACATACCAGTTGAACGTCTTCAATCCTGCGACTTGTCTCCCCGCCACCCACATTACAATCGGGCAATTTCTTCTCATCACGGTCTGAAAACCCTTAAGAGAGGTCACTAGTATGAACCGTTACTAGGTAGCCCTGGTAAGGCGCAGGAGCATTCAGAGGGTGGTCTATTGGCTCTACGTTTCGAGCTTTCCTTGCTTTAGGAGGAGTTCTTGTCTATTCTACACCAATGTTATACGGCAGTTTGGTGATATCCGATGCTATCGTAATTTTGCTCCCCCAATGATTGCGAATGAATATGTTTTAGTACAGTAGATTTGATTGTTCTTGCTGTACCGACAACTTTAGGTTCCGGTATATTTAGAATTATTTCGCGTGTCTTGGACTTTATCTGCTCGATTTCCACAGGATACTCGGTATCGCCCTCCGGGGCACTCAATATTCTCAACCTAGGAGTGATGACAACAACCTCAGGATCGATTGGGTCAGCAAACAATCCCCCAGGACCTGTTTGACACCTGATTCCAGAGCCATAACCCTTCTTTGCTTGATCGAAAGCGCACCCAGCGTCCAAAGTATTCAAAACTTCGTATTCAAAACGATAGTGAGCCTCATCACCAACGAATGAGGGATATTGCCAGAATTGGGAAAGCCAAACTCCCTTTTGTGAAGTCACAAGCACAACAGTACAACCATACAGATTTGTAATACCCAAATTTACCCGTTCATTACCAAGTTCCCTTTCTAATACGACGGAAGAATTTATAGAGAACGGTCCGCTTGACTGTTGGCCATGAGCGACAAACGTGGCTGACGTTAGCTTGTTTTCCATAAATACCCAGACGTCGTTTTTAAAGTCTTGAGGCCCTAAAAGCCAGCGCTTCGTGATGTCAAAGATATCGTGTTCTCTATAACCTGACGGGTGCAATAATGTATTTTTTGTATTCCTAGTTGACTGGATATTTGACGACTTACGTTGTTTTTACTAGAAATTACCCCATATTGTTAGTTTCGTTTTAGCATGACTCCACATATTGAAATCAAAACATATCGTAAATTCAAAACAGGAAATAATGTACGATAGATAGATCACTCACATAATGGTCCGCATCGTCCTTCAGGTAGTCGCCACATGATGTCCTTCGACCGGGCAGCGCATCCAATACATTCGGGGCACACTTTGGATTGTCAGGAGAACATCGAAAATCCGGTTTGTTTGTGCTTTCGAGTGCCGTAGTAGAAGTTGTGGCCGTTGGGATACAGCCATCAGTATAAATAGAGCATGTAGTGCTGCAGGAATGACTTGTGACTTCCGCTCGACGATGGACTGCTGTAGTTGAGGTTACGGTAAGTCTTAGCGAGAACCTGGAAATCTATGAAGGTCTGCGAAGAGGTACCAGAAGAAGTAGAGGATGTTGACGAATCTGTCGAAGTACTGCTAGGGCTTCCTTCAGTTGTAGTAGATTTCGTGTCATTCTTCTCTTCTAATGACTCCCCAATTTCTGCTAGAGTATCTGTTAAGTTTTCAATTACGTTTAAGTCAGGCGTTATATTTTCAACGACATCGAGAACATTCTTGATCACATCACCCGCGCAACTAAGAATCTTTCCTATATCAGCAATAGCTGCTTTGACTGCATTTGTGATGGTTGAGAGAATACCCCGGTCAACAATCAAAGCTCGAAGCTGCCGTTCCGTTATCTGACTTCTTTTTCTTTTCGTTCTCGAACAATCCGAAATGTGTGGGTGCTTGATATTTAGTTTGTCGATCAAAGCGACAGTCTCCTCCCTTGTTTTCTTAACTTCTTCAACATATTGAGATTTCAACTTATCATCTGTCAGCCACTTTCGATTGGGTTTCAAAGAAATAAGAAGCTCCCCATGTAGTATAGCTCCTGATGTTTCGGCTGGTACGTCAGGAACCCTACCTGTTGTAATATTGATCCATTTGAAGGTCGCTGCCGATGATATTGTCGTATCGCTCCAGGTTCCCAAGAAGGCGAAAGAGGGTGATTCATAGTCCTGGGTTGTAATTGAATTCTGTGTGTAGCTAGCAGATATATGATCATCCGTTAGGTTCGTCGACTCAGTCGCGGTCGATTTAGAAAGGAATGTTAACTGGACTTGTGAGGTTAGAGTCATAGATCCACTAATTATGGGACTGGCGATAAACACTGGATGGGCATACAACATACTTGTAGTCTAGAGGGCTTATAGTTATACTATCTGAAATAATTTAGACTAAACCGACTCTATTACCTACAAGTAGCTCAGCCTATTTTAAAAACTAACATTTACTATTTACCATTTATGATTTGCGATTACCTCGACACCGACCTAAGTGTACGTTCAGGATGCCGTACCTGGAGAACACGTGTCGCTCCTCGCTTATTCTCGCCTGCGTCACTATATTACACACTGCTTGTGGCTGTGCTGCATAGCCAACAACAAACCAACATGATTCTCCAAAAAGAGAATTAATGTTACCCCATGTCTCTTGACCCACCTGTTGGCGTCCCGCTTATGTTGGTTAGGCCTCGTCTTTGACCTGTCGAAAGATGTTGCAGGATATGTGCTATTCACCCACTACTAGCGTGGCACTAGTGCACTAGCTTCAACACTGGGTATTTAATCCCCACCTGTACCTTGCTTTTACAATTGAAGAACTTCTCCCCCTTCATCAAAAGACTAGTATCACCGCTGACCTTGACTATCAACGCTTCCATCCAAAATGCCTTCTCACAAAAGATCCCCCATTGACTTAGCACCTGGTCGTATATCCAAGACACCATTAACAGCAGCCGCTCTAACAAATCCAAGGACCCAACTCTCGCTTGCTTTCTTGACGCTTACAAACAAGGCAATAAATCCATAGTGACAAATTTGGCAAGTGCACGCAGCGATGTAGACGCGATGTAGACGGGTCACTGAACTGGGGACTTTATGCGGCGTTGTCTGAGAATCGAGCCGATATCGCAAACGTTCTTCTCCATAATGGTGCAATAATTGAGAAGCGCGCAGTGATGGAATCACGCACCGAAGAATGCTTCAAGGTGCTGATGGAGCATTGATGGGATATCAATGGCCGTTATGAAGTGGGCAATACGATTCTCCCGTAAGGCACGCAATTCATCTAGAATCCCAACCCCCAAAATTGCTTCTCTGACTCCACCCCAGACGAGTTGTCAAGTTTAATAATGAGTCTCTTATCCACTGGTTCCTGTCTCAAGGCGCAAACCCCGACTTAGGACTACCCAAAGGTATAATTCGGATGCTACCGCGCGATCAAGATAGTATAGACCCTGTTCCTGGGTCTGGCACCGCACTAAATGCAGCAGCGGAGCAGTCAACTCCCGCTATCTTCGACTTACTTCTGGCACACGACGCAAAGGCCGAGAATATTCAACCCCTACACAGGGCAGTTTCATCTATTTGGCTTATAGAAAGTCAACGTATTGAGATGATGGAGTATCTACTGAAGTTGGTGGTAGATATAAATCAGGACGGACAGACGCCAGGGAACAATTATCCTGGTGGGATGGCGTTGCATGCAGCGGCAACCTGGTGAGTCACCAGCCTTTTTAATATAAACAATAGTCATGGAGTTTTTGCTTCTAATAAAAATGTTCTAGCGTGTTGAGATATAAACAGGGGAAGAGTTCCAGAAGCGAAGTGGCTGTTGGAGTACGGGACTGATATCCGAAGAGGAAACCAATTTTATTATCTACCTTGGGTAGATGTCGCTAGGAATCTTCAAGACAACATAGTAAAGTTCTTAGAAGAGTAGGAGATTTAGCGTGGGAACAAATCAATTCACTAACTAATTAATACTTTAAATTATTTAGGTTTAATTTAATTTAATTTAATTCATAGGTCTAGTTAATTTGATTTAATTAACCCATTTGGTTAATTGGAGTATCAATTAATTAATATATACTAAAATAGTAACTAAAGTATAAAGTAATTGTTTTTAAATAACGCGTCTTTTAGTAGTATATCTTTGGCCTTGTCTATAAAGCCCTTAGTCTTTTAGGCTTATTACTAGTATAGCCTTAAATAAGAGTTTTTTTATTATCCTGTTCTTATTTTACCTATAAGTATAAGACGATTTAAGGTAGGTTATATGATTATACGTAATCCCTTATACTAGTTGTAAAAGATAAATACTTATATAAGCCTTCTACTAAAGTAAGGGAAAAGTATACCTAGAGTGCCTATGTATATAACTAATAAGTAAAGAGTTTAAATATATAAATAGTTATTAAACTTACTTATATAGAGGGAGGAGAAAGAAGTTGATTTGAAATGTGATTTTGCTACCACTGTACTAATGGTGTCCCGAAGGACGTCTAGAATTTACTTAATAGTATATACAACCACTCCCCTGTTCTAATGTTCAGACTCCCACTGGAGGGTAAGTATAATCTGAGCTATCGGATCTACTATAGCTATCTTAGACTACCCTCCTAAGTCTCGGACCGACCGGACTCCGTATTAATCCAAATTAATCTAAATTAATTTAATTAACTTATAGATAGTTAGTAAAAGACAATTAGTTTTATATTATTAGTTTAAATAAGTAACTAAATTTAAAACTAAAAGTATTTTTAAAGAACTTTAAGATATAATACTCTACTTAAGTATATATCCTTTATTTTACTATATAAAAGATATTATAAAAGTTAAATATATCTTTAAAGTTATATATAGCCTTCTATAAACTAAAAGAGATATATATTTAATAATTACTATTTAAGTAAACAAAAAATAAATTACGTATAAGTATTAGAAGAAACATACTTTTAGAACCTTTAAAAAATAAATTACGTATAAGTATTAGAAGAAATATACTTTTAGAACCTTTAAGGAAGTAATTATAGTAAAAATATTAAGAATATAATATAATAATAATTATATTTTATAGAATATGTTTTACTATTAATAGTAACTATATATATTATTTAGTCTAGTTAATTACTACTTTATAACAATAACCTACTATTAGTAGGGTTATCATACGTTCACGAACAGGCCTCTCTTCTTAACCCTTTACTATCCTTAATTAATCTAGTAGAATTATAGGCCTAAAATAAGCGCTTAGGAACCTAGGCTCATATAATAAGGTGCGAATACCCTTACAAGTGCCTCAGGGACTATTTAACATAAACAAGATATTCTTACGCGCACGTAAGCCTAAGTATAAGTAAAGATAATTATTATTGAATCTTTTCGGTTACGGGTATACTTCGGCTTCTAAGCGAAGCAACAAATACTTACATTCTCTTATTCTTATATTTCTAATTGTTAATATTACTAGACTTATTTGAAACTTATACTACCTATCTAGTAATAAGAGGCAATCCAAAGAGTACTATAGCTATATATAACAAGACTTAGAATTAAAGATAGAAGTGCAGGTACCTAGGTAGACAAATGTAAACATTACCTAGACAGTTGATTCACAAACACCTTTGCATTCACCCCTTTAAAGTCTACCGAGGTAGGCTAACACAGAGAGGAGGTTGGAAGTCGGTGTTTGTTTTGTTGATGAGCGGTATCGGATTATCTCTTTTCCAGATCTAATAAGACTTTTCTCAAGCCGCGACAACACCTTCAACCCTACAACCACCATCCACCTCCACCCACGACCACCGACCACCACTCCCAACATTGCTCCGCGCAGTTGTTTTCTCTTGCAATAGCTTTCTGTACATGTAAGTACTCCTACCGACCTTTCTTTGAGATGAAATAGACGGTCTTTCGCAAGCGGATTGATGCTAACACTGGCGGAAGCCCTATCGACCGATCACCACCACCACCATGACCTCTCCATCCCCCCCAGCTTCTCCCTCTAGTAAGTTCAACGCCACATCCCAAACTAAGGAACGTACATATTCACTAGCCCAAGTAGTCGAATATACGGACTCGGAGACCGCGTCTCCGGGGGAGGAGGCTGGCGACTCTGGTAAGCGAGCACACCCACAATTGCAATATCTACAAAATCTAATCAAGATAGCAGATACACCACGACAACAACCCACCAAGAGAGAGTGGGCCACCGTCGCAACCAACCGTTCGCAATCACCAACAGCCGACATGGTTAGAACCAGACGCACCGCCCAACAGGAGGAGATCGACGAGAGAACTGGCTTCATGGAGGGTGCAGTGGTGAGCGGTGGCGTCGAGGGGCAGCCAGCTCGTCAAGGTGCGTTTAGCAGCGCCGATGACCTCTCCGCACCAAACGTTCGTACTAGCGGAGAGCGAGGCAACGAGGATGCTCGTGTTAACCACCAGGAGTTCTTGATGATATTGGAAGCAGAGTACAATCAAATCATGGCTGCCTACCAGACCTACCGCGAGAGTCCACTGCACCAGGAGACTCTCCAAGGAACTCGCCCTGCCGACGACCCTGAAGTTCGGCTCTTCAAGGCCCAGCTTCTGGAGAGAATTGCGGCGATTCCACACCTCCAAGTCCGGGCGCGGGTTCAATACATTCTCTTCGATCATTGCCACCCCCAACTTGCCCATCTCTCGGTTGTAGACGAGTATGGACAACCGCCAAAGCTGCAAGCACGTCCTTGGCACCCATACCCGTACAACGCATCTCCACGCGCTCAAGAGACACAAGACATGGAGAACGCCGCGCAATTGTCCGTTGAGGATGCTGCTGATGGATTCGCACCAGTTGCAGATGAGGGTCAGTAACCATTTCAGCATCTCGGATACCTCCAAATCAAGTCCGTAGCTAATATTTGTGCCGCTCAGAAACACGTTACACTCACCCCAGTCAAGATATCGACAGTATTGCAGCAGAGTATGGATTTGGAGATCACTCCGTCGAAGGCCTTTTGAGAGGCAAGCTAGAACTTGCGGGAAACGATGACGATTACCCAAATGATGAGTTGGAGGACACTGTCCGTTCGACCAATACCGCCATCAATATCCTTGAGTCTCTTCGCACCAACCTTTCCACCGCAGCTCAACCATCGGAAGCCGCTCCACCAGTCAACAATTCGAAGGTGATGCCTACTTATCCAGAGCTCGCCATCGGTCATATCAAAGCAGCAAACCCAAGTTCCGACGACGCCGAAGAGCACTGCACATTCTGTACATATGACTCCGATTTTGGTGTCTGGAATGAGTGTGTTCTTCTCCCCGAGGAAGCATCTAAAGGCTACTGCGCTGAGTGCAAGCATAAGACGATGGGTTTCATGACGGAATATACTGATCTGTATGACATGGGGGGCGATTACTATGATACGATTCGAGAATTCGAGCAGGAGCACCAGATCGAAAAAAGCAATGACCTCCAGGACCTCGCCGATGACCCTGCTCTCGTCGAAACCGCTGCCAAGTACCAAATCTGTCAACCAACTACCCACAACACTACCAGCAACCTCGATGGTAAAAACATCAGCCGTTTCCGTGGTATCATGTTCTGCCGTGGCAATTCAATGAGACAGGTAGATATCACCAAGGCTAGAATTTGTAAGGAATGCAAGGTAGAGAAGATGGCTATCATGAACCACCGTCATCGTGAGTTTAGTCCTGCTATTCGGGACGAGCACGCCACGGATAAGGATAAGCGATGCATGCTTTGCACTGGTATGGCGGAGGAGGCATGCGATGGCTGTCCATTGAACCTTTGCTTCATGTGTGTTATCAAGGTCAAGAAGGGTAAGTCTTTCCATCACGATAATGCTGAACTATACTGATTGTTCTTTGCAGACGGAAAGGGTTGGACCAACAATGCAATCTACTCATTTGGTCGTGAGCATATCCGTAATGACGCATTCTTGCTTCGCAGCGACGGTGGTGGATTTTAGGATGGAAACCTTGGTTACTGGCAATATGATCGATTTGTTTGGTCGTGATCATATTCGAAATGACACATTCTTGCTTTGCAGCGACGAGGGTGGATCTAAGGGCGAAAACCTTGGATTTGTAAGATAGGATACGTTTTGTAGCTGAGAGATACCCAATGAGGAAACACCATTTGCAGATTTTGCCCTTTCTTGATGTAATAGACGTCGTGTGATTTTCATGGGGTGCCATCTTTGTCCTCGCTCAGCGCACCTTCGGCGTCTCAATTACCACAGGATGAAGTTTTCTTTAACCTCCCGAGTTTAGATAAGATGGCTACCCATTGAGATATACAAATTTCAGACAAATGCCAATGAATGTAATACGAGCCTTCCGAGGTCATTCAAGTAACGCTTGCCGGCAAATTAGACGACGATTTAAATTGAAATTGGCAAGCATTTTCCAGGTTGATCTGGGAAGTTTTGTCGTACCTTGCAATAGTCTTAGAAAGCCAGTCTGTACACCTCCATTTCGGATTATCTTGGTTATACTCTTCTGGACGTCGACATTGACGTTAAAATGCCAAGAGAAATCCACCCATCGGGACTCGCGTAAAAGCAGACCATCGGACGGCAGCCGGAGCCTCTCTGGTTCCGATATTACATCCGATTATCCAAGTCCAGGGAACACCTGGCTGCGTCATAGTGCGAGACCAAACTCACAATATCCCGATCAAAGCCGTTTGGCGCAAGGCAGGTATCGAATCAGGCGATAGCTGGTGGTCCGGACGACACAAACGCCCCAATCACGAGCTTTGGGGATTGACGCCGAATTCGCCATGAAACATCTCGATCTTTGGCCGCACGAACAAGTTCGGAACAACATTCATCAATCGCATAAGCGAGGGGTATAGAAGCATAACAAAATATTGACGAAGATTGGAAGTGTATGTCTTTTAGCGAACGGGGAACTAGAGCCTGCCTATCTACCTAGACACTGGTTCAATCTCAACTCAAGCCATAGAAAGGAACGTTCAACGCGACCGCCGGTAATCTGTGATGGATTTCCACGGCAATTCCAACAGAGCAGCATTCCCAATTGATTGTATGTCGAATATCGAAATGGTAGGTGGCTCAATCTGCATAGCTTTAATAATACATAAGTTTTGCCGGACAATACGATTGCGGCCGGCTTCATAGCATTCTACATTGGGAACCAACGGTACCTCGGTGAGAATTGTCGACTTTTTTTTAACGTATTTTCATTGTTTGTTTGAGGGGTTTTTTGGTGACGAGCAGAGTTCAACTCTGCAGATTATTTAAGGCTTTCCATTGCTCTTCTCTTTTCATTCTGGTTCCACTTGGAGGGTAGGAACGCTCGTTCTCTGGCTATTCTTTGGCGCCTGCTCGAATTATCTTCTGGTCTCAGGTCCTATCTTGGCGTGGGTAAGGACATTGAATGCGAGCTTTCATGACAACATTTCTTCGTCTTGTTAGCTCATATTGCTGCCTGGCTCAAGTTGGGTATGAAAACACACATCTGACCAAAAAACTTCTCTGCACAACAACCCCTTGGCGGTGTGCAGTCTTCAGCGTCAATGTGCATGTTACTTGGTAGCCAAGAAAGTTTGTGCGGAGTATGCCCGTTGCACTCCATGGCGATGCAGCAGGTCCTGTAAAAACGGACCGAAGTACTATTGCGAGTTGTTCGGCATTTCGTTGAGGTTGAGGCGGATAATGTCTTTCTTGGGCTCGGACTTTTTTGGAAGGTAGGATTAGGAAAGTGTTGTTGTGCAAGCCTGTTTGCTGCCTGTAAGAATCTGAGTGGATATGAATCTTTTTAGGAAGGTAAATTCACATGTTGTCTATTGTCTTTTTGCCAAAATCGATTGTAATCTTTTATATTCTGCGTATGAAAATATCTCCGCATATCGAAGCGGTATGATTTGAAATTGACCCAAAACTCCACCAGTACTCCCAAACCTTCCCTTTCATTCCGGATAAACCCAACCAACCCTTGTTACACCAACCCATTCATTGGTATATCAAAAACCATCCCAACCGGTCGTAAATTAATCATTATTCAGAAACTCAATCCTCTTCTTACCTCTCCGACCTTTATAATCCAACGCGCGCCTTGACGAATTGTGCGGCTTCTGGTGCGTTTTCTCGATACTTTAGAGTATTAGCTTTATTGCAAAAACTTGGAAGTTTGATTCTTACTGTTGTATGAGGTGTGAGGATGAGAATACCGCCAGCGCAAATATTGTCACCGTCGTTGCAGAAAACTCGGATCTTGGATGTTGCAATTGTTCCGACAGCCGCTCCGAACATTGGGTCACCGAAGAGGACGACTTTATGTCCTGGTTAGAGTTCGTTTGAGAAGAGTAAATAATAGAGACTTACCGGCTGCGACTTTGTTAGTTGATACAGCTGATAATTGCCTTGCTGCGTTGTGCACAATTTGAGCACCTTGGCTAATTGAAGTTAGTGTATTTTCTGTATCACATACGAGAATGAAGAATTTACCTGAAGCCGGACATGACTACTTTGGTGTTTGGGCATTGTCTGTAAGCTTGTTCCACCAAGTTTGCCATCGTTGTTGATCCAGGTCCATCACCACCTTGCAAGAACCCCAGAATACTGGCAGAGTAGGTAACACCTTGGACAGCGAGGTTGTTTGTTCCGATGGCAGCAGCAACTGCTCTAAAGAAATATGGGCCAACAGATTCTGATGCTCCTACGTTTCCTGGTGCTGTAGTTCTATTCAAAGTTAGTATCGAGATTTCTTTACGTAAAGATATATATATCATGCTTACCCCCGTGCCCAGATGAGTGTCACAGGTGCACATGGGGCTCCATTGACGAGGTCATTCTGTGTATCCAAAGTCAAATCACCGGCACGTTTGCCAAAGAGATTTAATGATATGGGAAAAGCAGTCGCATAAGCTGCCAAGAGAGACAGAAGGGCTGGAGTGAACTTCATTGTGACAATTGATACTAGCGTACTGAAAAGTAGAGCTGGAGAGGTGATGCTGCTGAAGAAAGAGAAGATCAACAGGAACCAAGTTCAATTTATAGAAAACCACCTCTCTCCCCTCACCAAATCATCATGAGGGGTTTCCACCGCCGATTCGCTGCTTAGTTGAAAGTCCAATTCCCAATCGGGCAGCAGAGGATGCTATTTCTCCCCATGTTCATGGGGTGCAGTAACCGTACCGTTCCTATGACCGAGGGTCCAATCCATGAAAACAAAACACGTTCTCACTACAATTCGACTTCCAAGGAGGTCTGTGGCTCAACGATTGGTAACCGGAAGTAGAAGTTTACAATCAGCCATCAAAAAATCCCCCGACAGGAACGCGGGACACATATCCACTTGAACCCCTCATTGGATGAGGAGGGTGATCATAAACATAAGCGATTTCCCATCCGGAAATCTTGGCAAGGTGGGTATCAGACGCACGACTGATAAACGCGCTGCTCTGATTGGCTAATGCAAATTTTACACTTTTTTCCATCCCTGGAAGGTAAGACAACCTGTCAATCTTCTACCTGAACCGCGATTATTTCATCTAATAAGATCGTATATGGTTAAGCGCTCGAAGTTTCTGTATGCTCTGGTGGTAGGTTGTTGTCGCGTGAGTACGAGTAAAGGTTCTGGACAGATCCGGCCTCCCTCCCCCTGTCAATTCTGATATACCTCCACATGAATTGGACAGTCCAATTCGCTTGGAAAGCTATATTGTGTGGTTATACCCTTCCGATAACAAGTCGTATATTGAGAACGGGAGACGCAAGCTGTCCGACCCGTTTATGTGCGGTAAAGTCTTGGTGCTGATGCAAATGCGGGGAATGCCGGTTAATATCAGGAACAAACATCTTGGTGGATCTTAGGATGCTTGCGACACTCTTTGATTTAACGTATCTTATGGGGAGGTTACAGTACGGGGCTGGGAGAGTCTGAGTATGAGGGAAGAATGCAGGTTTTTTCTCTGGTGCTGATGCAGTCAGGTCTTGTCCTTCCTCGTTCAACTCTCGTTATCATAAAGCTCTCCCCTCGTTCCCCAACTTGGCATCCCTTTTCAATTATGGCGCTTATCTGCTCTAGGCCGCATGGTTGTGATAATTTATAATACTCGATCGTGAAACGTCACTCTCGCATTCCTAATTCCCATCATCCCAAAATCCAAGACGCTTAGCTTCCTTGCACCTTTATTTCATCAGTAGATTCCAATTTGCAATTCTAGACGGAGATGAATTTGTCATCAGAGTTTCCCGTTCATGGGGCTCTGGATACTGTATCGATAGGAGATAAGCTTTTTGGTGGCCCACCCCAATCCCGCTTTAACTGTGCAATTCCCATCGATGATCGATGAACATCAGAGTTGGGACATATGTGTAAGCTGGATGGTCAAACTAAGTTCCACAGGATACTTTGGAGTCTAATAATTCGGCGTGGTGTGTCCTTCGAGACTGGGTAGCACAGTGGATAGACAAATGACACCCCTATACCCAGACACTAGACAGTGGACGGCAAATTGTCGTCTTAATATATTTAAATTAGGAAACTGAAGTCCTTTCTCGATGTTCCGGGGTATTACCAGGTCCAGTTCATGATTTTAATTTATGACTTCCACACTTTCCTATTTTGGATGGAATTACAACTGCCAGCGCAGAAAATGTCGGAGTTTTTAGATTCCCTTGTTTCTTTGTCTCTAGAAATCATTATCCTGGTTACCCGAGGAATTGCGTGTCCTGCACTTTTGGTCAAAAAAATAAATGTTTTGTTGTTTTGCTGTTCTCGGTTAATTTGTCCCGATGCTCAGTAGTCTCAACCTAAACTCGAAGATCCACATGCAGTTGAAAAGGACTTAAAAAGGATGCCTTTTACATACCCCAAATACTGCCTGAGTAAAGGTGATAAAATCTTCAATACTCGGGCGGAGATTATTGTCAATCTCAAATCTGATTGTCAGAGAGTAAAGTCAAATTACACATTCAGTGGCAAGAGAAACCCAATAAATGAGCAGTCCGAACTCGAGTGCTCAAGAGATCCCTCTCCCAAAGTCCGCAAGCTCCAATGAACAGAATCTCCACAGGTATTTTCTACAGATTACCAATGAGCTGTTAATTCATTTTTTGTATTATCACCTCGTCGTATCATATGTACATCTAGGATTTTAGGTTGGAGATATCCACTTTTTGTCTTAGTAATCAATAATACTACAATACAAGACACCCAAAGTGAACCACACCAAAACTAATTCTCGACGACCTCGACACTTCCACCACAACACCACAACAACAACAATACTTAATAGTTATTTAAATAGAGGAAAAGATGCGCCTGAATTAGCTGAATAAAATGTACTTACTAGCTTTAATTTAATTAATTTATCTAAAATGTGGGGCTCACATTTGCCGAGTCTTGGTATCTGTCTCAATTTTAGGCCGCCCCACTTTTCCTAATACGGCTTAACTAAAGACTATATAGAAATTTCTACTAAGTGCATTCTTATTCTTTTAGCTTAATTAGTATACAAGCATATTAAGAACTAGGGCTTAACTATTAGAATAGCTAGTTCTCTATAATCAAATATAATAGTAGTATGGTTTACTTTTGTCCGATAAGGCCGATACGAGGCTTATACGAGGCCGGTACGAGAGCTTTCCGAAGTGTGAAAAAGTCGTCTATAATATAAGGACTTAATTAATAACTTATTATAACTACGCTCTATAACTGTATTTGATAAAGTAAAAGATACGCCTTTACTAGCTGAACAAAATGCACTTACTAGTTTTATTTATATAAAATTATATAAAATGTGGGGCTCACATACGTAAAAGTCTTGGCAGTCTCCATTTTTTGGGGGAATTTTTTGACCCCCTTGCAATAACACTTAGCTAAGGTCTATATAAAAATTCTAGTAAGTGCATTCTTATTCTTTCAGTCTAATTAGTCTATCCCGCTATTTCAAATATAGTTTATATCGCTAATCTAAAACCCTTTTCAACTAAGGTCGAAAGTCGAGTTTTGGTGTGGTTCACTTTGGGTGTCTTGTATTGTACTACTTGAGTGGTGCGGAGCAAGTGGGACCAAGCCCCGTAGCGCGGCTAGGTATTATTCCGACCGGTCCGACCGCTCAAATAGGAAATCTCAAACTTGAAATCCCAGGTGTACATATGATACGACGAGGTGATATAATTTTCAGATAGTTGATTTTGTATAAAATAATTCTACAGACTATAACATTTTTGTGAATGTTTATAAAGTTTTAGGGAGGCGGAACTATAATGTTCCAAGCCAATAAATAACCACGTTTTACGCCTAATACCTGTATATTCCGTCTTTAATTCTGGACCCTTAAGATTTATTAGGTCTTAGTAATGTAGCGTTGAGTAAATCTATAGAAGTCTTGAGGTTGATACTTCCTTATACGTAAACCTCCCCTCTCCTCTTCCCCCATTCTCCCTTACAAACAGAATATCACGTGCCTATATATATATGCACGTTGATGAAATGTATTAATTTATCGTTTTATCACATATAATTCATGAATATTATCTGTCCCCAATTGTCAATTGATATGATACTACGTTCGTAAATTTCGAGCGTTCGTAGTTTTTTGCACATCTCAAGTTGCTACAAATCTCCAACCAACGCTCTAAAGACTCCACGACGCCGCTGACCGCAAGAAGAAGCACAAAACCCACCCCACAGCAGACCCTAAACCTCATATCAGAACCTCATTTCCAGTTGATAGATCTCCGCTTGACCGTTGCATTGAAATTGTCCTCCCCAATAGCGACACGAATACCAACATCGACATGAATCTCCAAGGAACCGTCTGATTTACAAAGGTTTTCAAGAAGGCCATCATCAACGTCGTCATGAATGCTCAAGCTCACGTAGTAGCATCTTGCCAAATACCCTTTATCTCCTTCACTGTGATGTAATCCGTTGGTCCATTATATATGGGATCCATTATCACCTCAACTATGAACTTTTCGACCTTCTCTTGCATTTGTTTCTCTGGTGATGGAGCTTTTCTCCCGAATTGAATGCAGATCTTTCCGGTAATATCGAATATTTCTTTGCAGATGACCCTAATATAGAGGTCTATGGACGACATGGTGGTTCGGAACTTTGGTGGTGAATGACTTGGTGTGGCGCAACTTCTACTATAAATAAGTATTTATGACAGAGTTTTGGGAGAAAGCTACCTTTTTTGGTGTCTGCGGAACTGCTTGGTTATCAAAGTCGCACTGTTTGGTGTTGGAGTGCTGAGTTTTATCAGCTGGCTGTAACGCGTTTGAACGCGTTATTATTGGTGATTTACAGCACGATTCACTTTTTTCTACCTGCCGTGAATTGGAAAAAGTTTAAAAAGTCAGAATAACCTATTACATAATCACATGAATAGGGTAAAAAAAGATGTACATCGTATGTACATCCAATGTACATTGGAAGGATACCACATGATAACAAGGTATACAATTTGTCAAGAGAGCCAAAAGAGTCATATCACATTGGTATTTATCAGTGACACTCTCAAAGAGCATGTTACTCAATATCTTTATCTAGGATATATCCAAAAGTTCAATTAAGTAAGACTTTACTCAATACATTATTTGCTAGCCTTTGACTGACCAGATTTTAACCCTAACCAGCGTAACAAGACAATACACATACACACGACTAAATCAATTGTAATTGCGCAGACCTTCGTTCTTCTCAATATCTGCCATAGAGTTATCTTCTACTGGCTTGACAGAGTACTGTGCGAAGAAAAGTATCGAAATTTGACACAGGGTATGTTTCTGCTGGTTTTGAACACGTATTAAAGGCACGCAATGTATGCATTGTGATAAATAAGCGCCTTGCAGCAACAAGTCACCACTGCCACATAGTCTACTGCTATTGCTGCCCTCTTCTATAAACTAACGGACATTCCAGACTTCGTCAATTAGAGTGCAGGAGAACCCAAATTAAGCACGATAACCAAATTGAGATAACACTGTCGCCTTATAAACCACCAGCAAATGGCATATCAGCAAAAATACATTGTTATGCTTAGGATTACTTCTTATGTTGCTACAATAGTGTTGCTTGTAGATCAAGTGAGGCGCAATTGGGCTATCATGAGTGGCTAGAGCAGATTGAATTGGATAGAGTACACTGCGCTCTTTGAAAACCTTGGAAGGGAAAGGTCTTGTATATAAAGAAGAATTAGAAACTTTCGTAGCCCCCATGCATTTGACCATGCATTAATCTAAAGGTGACACTATGATCAGATTTGATATATTCACCAGGAATACACGTGAAATACAGAAATGGACATACGATCATATGTTAGAATATTTGTACCACCAGTTGAAGTCTGTCTATTTAATTGATGTTAACTTGAGAGGGGTCAGACACTTCTTTGTGATTGGACAGCAGCCGAAAACGCGCCTCTATCCCTTAATTGGTAGAGCAAGGACACGTCACGAGGACCTTTGATAATATTGTCAGCTTTAAATAACCCTATACCATCATTGCGAACAGAAGATTGACAGGCATAATACTTCTGGATTAGCGAGTCTTTGCCTTGGGGCGGGAGATCTCCCATTGTACCATTAATAAATGTCACGTGATACTTTATTTCCCCCTTCAGCAACTTCTCCAGCTAATTCATTTCAAGGTTTAGTTCCTATATATATGAGCAGTGTAATCGCTGAGAAAAGCTATCGGTAAATTTATCATATAGTAAGTGGAGTGGTATTAAAGTCCGATGTTACTGTATTTACCCGGAAAGTTAATCAGCTTCCACATTGGGAATAAGCCCGAATTCGCCATAAGTTGGTGGCATTTCGAAACTCGGGAGTGGGGATACAGTAACCCCAAATAGATTTCTTCTTCATTTTCCCATATAATTGATTGACAATGTAAATATCAGAGTCTTTGCTACAGAAGTTTTTCATTTTAGCCTTTTTCAAGGTCCAACATCTGATTTCACAATGGTATACACGTTAGAAGACCAGCATGAACTCGCACCACAGAAGAGAATTTGGCATCGAACGACGTTTTTCAATGCATGCGTAATTGGAGGTGTCGGGTTCATAGCCCCTGGTCTTTGGAATGCGATGAATTCTCTTAGGGCAGGAGGAACCCAAGCACCATATCTTGTTAATCCCGCCAATGCACTTGTTTTTGGACTGAGTATGAATGGAAAATCTTTTTCTCGTTTGTTACATTGCTGAAAAATCTAGTGGGGATATTCTGTTTACTTGGAGGGCCAATCGCTAACCGAATCGGTCTGAGTTATACACTGCTTCTCGGTGCTGTTGGTTATCCGATTTACTCGTAAGACTCATGGAAACTTCTTGACGAGACACTTTTGAAAGAGAAAAAGGCTAATAGAGTTGACAGAGCTGGCTTATATGCAAATAACAGATATGCAAGGATTACCACACGCCCAAAGAAACAAACGAACGCTTACTGACCAATGGCAGGGAAACGTTTGGCTTGTGTTGGTTGGTGCCGTCACTTGTGGTGTTTCGTAAGTTGTGATACCTCCGTATCACGATGTTTGACTTATCTGACGAAATTTTCAGTGCTGGTCTTTTTTGGGCCTCAGAGGGCGCAGTCGCACTGGGCTACCCAGAATCTTCGAAGAGAGGGAAATATTTGAAGCAAGGACCCGATTCAATCGCTATTACAATTGTGACTGACAAGAACTCAGCATTTGGCTTGTGTTTCGAACCGGAGGTCCCATAATAGGAGGGTCGATTGTGTTGGCACTCAACCAGTATGAACCACCTCTTGCGTTACTTGAATGGTTATGCAGATTTTCAAAATAGTGGTGCCAACCAAAAAGGCAAAGGCAAAGTGGGGTACCGTGAGTTATGCTTCTTATACGTATCAGATGAATGCCTTTGACATTCAAACGTAGAGATTTACTTGATTTTCATTGCTTTACAATGCGTCGCAACTCCACTTGCACTTGCACTCAGTCCTCCTGAAAAGGTCCAGCGAACCGATGGTACAAAAGTGAAGGTTGTGATAGAAAAGTCTTTTGCTGCTGAAATTCGAGCTTTAGGAAAAGCTTTATGCAGACGTGATGTATGCCGCCCATTGTCTCATTTCAAGGGCACCAGGTTCTAAAGTCGTGTCCTAGATTCTCCTTTTATTGCCGATATTCTGGGCTGCTTACTTTAATCAATACCTTGGAAGTAAGCAGATTAAGAATCTTTGTTGACTAATTCGCTAATTGAGTAGACTTCCAAACATATTATTTTGGTGTTCGTGCAAGAGCATTGATTGGATTCGTCGGTATGACTGATTTGACATCGAAGCATGACCCTGGTTGCTAATATTAATAGGTAACTTTTCAAATCTGCTAGCCTCATTTTTGATGAGTTCCTTGCTAGATTTTAAAAGGCTTCGCGTTCAGAAAAGAATCAGCATCGGGTAAGAGTGAACACACGACTTCTATCTTGGGACTGAGAACTAACACCCACACAGATTCTATTATGTCGTAGCCTTACACTTGGTTGCTTGGATATATGGTTGGGTCATCCAGGAGAAATACACACGTACAAACCCAAGTTGGGACTGGGAAGAACCAGGATTTGTAGAAGGTTTCTTTGTGATAGTTCTCTGGAGTAAGTCTTTGCTGGTTCAATACGACCTTGGAAATGAGCTTATAGTTGCTGCAGAGTTTTCCGAACAAGGCATTCAAAGCTGGATGTATTATTTTATATCCACAAAGACTGATAACATCTCCGAATTATGTAAGAGATACGCGACCTTCTCGATTATAGACAGAACTTATATCTTTGCAGCACGATTTACAGGAATTTTGCGGCGGCAAGAAAGTTTTGCCCAGGCAGTTTCGTTTGGCTTAAATAGCCGAAATTGGAAAGGCGGCCGCGTGCCACTCGCTGTGAATACCATCCTTCTCGGTAAGCCTTTGCAATAGTAAACAGTCTTGTAAATAATTGTAATCTTGACATCCCAATAGGTCTTGCTGTGGTTCCAACCTGGATTGCCTTGCGGGAACATGTACCGGTCGAGTCTGATGAGGCTTACGGGTTTGAAGCAACGAGCGACGAACAGGCTACATCTGCAGAAGTCGTGTTTGTTAAAGAGACCGCGAGAGTCACGGTCACATAAGATCTACTAAACCATAGATGACCTGTCCATGAAATGGAAATTATTTTTCATATCTGAATTGACTAATCTTGGTGCAATTCCAGACGTAAGTTTTTGCGATGCCCATATTTGAGTTTGATCAAACTCAATCTAGATTATAATATTACTGGTATTTTGTCAGGCGAATAGAGATCGTGGAGATCCTGTCAGCTATTATCTATCGCATCTATTTGATCATATCGTGTGAAAATGATTGACTTTCCGTTTGAGTAAATGTAGTATATCTATACACAACTTTTCAAGCTTCTAATTAACTAACATTGATTCAATATACTCTCATTCAAAAATAGAATTGGATGCTTTACTGGCACCACCAACGGCAGGTAGGTCACATGACCATGATAAACAACATTCCCGGGAATCTCAGCTAAACTTTGATTCGACTAAGTCACGAAATAAAAACTCATTTTCATTCAATTTTCATTTTACTAATATCTAGTATTTCTTCGTACTCATGAAATTTAGTGAAGAGTCAACACGTGATCCCATAATGAGGATGTCAAAAAACGGTGATTTAGATGACCCCTTATTTATCTCACTCCACCACCGCCAAATTTGCCCTTTTATCTACTTTAAGGTACTGTACGTTTAAGCTTGGTTCCAGAAAAAGGGCACTTTTCAGATGAAGTAGTAGTGTGTTTTACTCAGCCCCACGGTCCTCCTAGACCAAAGTAGACCAACCCCCAACCAGAAGACTAGATCATACATAGGATTAACCGTTACAGTACGTCCCGCTAGTACGGTTCCCAGTTTAACAATACCAATTTGTAGAAAACTTAGCTCACATATATAAAGAGTTAATTCACTTATGATGTAGTCTTATATTTGGAAAGTTTCGATAAATCGCGGATTTTAGAGAGCCAAGGGTCATAATAAAGTACTCTCGCGCTCTGCATCCGAGAACACCCCTTTCCCGGAAACTACGAAGGGGGAGCGCGTTTTAGAAAACCAACTGCGTCACGCCATTCTTTTTTCCTATCCTTGACACAATTCCCCAGGTGCTCGAGATAATTGATTGTAGTTAATTACAGTGATCATTGGTATCCACAAGCTACCTAGTCCCGAAGGACGTCTTGAATTTCCTTGATCTACTTCAAATTACCCCTTCTGTTCTACAATTGTCCCTCCATCTGTTCCCACTCTTGTAGCCACATACGGACCATCAAAGCAGCCTCAAGTGAACTGCACGTTACTCAACATTGGACAAGTTGGACTAGATGGGATTGGTTAATATATGCAACTAACATGATTTGTTAGTAATTTGCAATATTGAAGTTCAACTACTGCATGTAGTGTGACTTTCCTAAACCATGTTTCGTTATCTGGTTCAAGGCTTGGCAATTGCAAGGCCATCCCTGGAGAGAGAACGAACCAAACATCAGATGAACAAGGTAAAAAGTTGACACGAATCAAGAAATACTCACTTTTAATTTTGTTGAAATACGTCGTGATAGTGGAAGAATTAAGATGGGAAAAGCATCCAAACCGACAACACCGGTAAGAATACCTACGGATACAGTGATTCAAGGCAATTACTTCGATGATAATGCGGTTTATCGCTCAATTTTGTTGAATCCGATGTTGAAGTTTGACGATGTTCTTGATGCAGTCAAATTGAAAACGTCGCTTGAAAGATTATTGAGTCGGCATGATTGGAGGAAACTCGGTGGAAGAATAAGACTGAACGTACGTGAAATAATCTTGTCTTGAGCGCTCAGTACTAAGATCACCTCAGGAGATTGGGAAGCTTGAGTTTTCCATCCCAAAGCAGTTCGACGATTTGCGACCTGGTTTCTCATATTCTCACGAACACTTCGATATTGATATCTTGGAGCATTCCGTTGCATCGCAGATTCCCAAGGCAACGTCAAAACCAGCCGTTCTTGTGGAAGCGAAGAAATTCGTGAGCCTGACCCGTCGTCCTGATGCACCTAGCAAACTTGAAGATTATCTTTACTCGGATGAACCTCAACTTGGGATTCACATAGTCTCATTTCGTGATGCTACTCTTGTATCGATACTTTGGCCCCATATTTGTGGAGATGCTTCAGCAGCGAAAGCTATATTCGATGCCTGGTCACTTGTACTTCAAGGACGGGATGACGAAATACCTCCACTTCATGGGTTCGATAACGATCCTTTGGCTCAATTGGGATTAAATCCCAGGGAGAAGTACAGCCTCGTCGCAAAGAGGCTTACTGTATTCCAAATCATCGTCTTTTGGATCCGTCATCTCTTCGAAACGTTGTGGGGGGGTGACGAAGGCAGGGTGATGTGTGTGCCGGCTTCCTTCATAACGAGCCAACGAGAAAAGGCTCTGCAAGAATTGGCCTCAGGATGTCACGAAAACGAGAAACAATTTCTCAGCGAAAGCGATGTCCTCTGTGCATGGCTAGCGAAATTGAGCATCTCGGATCTTCCTAAGAGCTCAAATCGGACAGTCCTCATTTCAAATGCTCTCGATTTCCGGGGTCTTCTCGCAAAAGACCTTTTGCCTGGAAACGGTGTACATCTCGGAAATGCAGTAATGATTGTTCACGCCATTTCAACCGTCAGAGACGTATCCCGCATGCCCATTAGTGAGACTGCTTTAGCAATCCGTCGTGGAATCGAACACCTGGGCACGCGAGATCAGCTTGAAGCCCATCAGGCGCTTTTGAGGGAGTCCATTGACAAGACCAAGGTCCCTGTGGTATTTGGTGACGCAACAATGAATCTTATACCTTTTACGAACTGGTCGAAAGCCAAGTATTTTGAGACAAACTTTTCTGGGGCTGTTACGAAGGTTGGAAAGCCATTGGAAGGACGGTCGAATGGAAAAGGAATACCATCATATGCTCAGAATTGTACATTGAACAGGGGACTATCGAAATTTGTGATTATGGGTAAAGATGTGGAAGGTAACTTTTGGGTGACTGGATTTCTGCGGAAAGGTCTGTGGGAGAATATCTCAAAGATGTTGGAAAGAAGTCCGTTGGAGTAGATATGATGATATCGCAGTCATTAGGATTGAAAATTGGACTTATAATAGCTCACTTGTTTACAAAAGTAATGAAATATTCCTAGTAAAGTGGCTGGCCTATCAAAACGAGCCCTAGATCATCGTCAGGATCGCGGCTTTCTATCGCCACACAAAAGATAGGACTTATTTGTTTCAGTACCCCAAAGATGAGGAATTCGAAGTCCTTTCATAGATGCCTCCAAAACGAAGTACTGAATGTCCGGATCATAAACAGTTGTCATTCGCCACAACATCTTGAGATGCTCTTACAATCTATCCAAATCAGCCAGCGGACCAGAAAAGAAATCGGAGATCAAAGCATCTCCGAAGCGATTTTCGTATAGGCGAACACGAGGGGGTATATCCGTTTCCCCAACTGCAATCCCCTACTGCCATACAATGGCTTGAACATCCCATGTAAATCTTTAGCATCACAATATGCTCCGGCTGTTGTAGTGTAGACCAATATTCCTTCTGATTTGCCAGCGGCGATCCAGCCTTTGTACTCGAGTAATGATAACAAATAGGTTGAGAACAAGATGCCTTCATTTGCTCTCGTAATCGATCCTGGGAACGTCTTTCGTGGTCGGCTAGTAAAAATAGCCTTCCCATTGTCTAGTCACAGATTCTTTCTTCATCTCTATCCGTTGTCATTTCCGCGATGCCACGTCCTCCTTCTTCTCCTCAAATTCCACCCTTATATCTAGAAAGGGTGCTGATCCCTTAGCAATTCATAACTTGAGCAGAGGTGGCGTTGAGTGTGATATATAGAGGTTTGATATTGAGAGAATAGTCGCGGGGACGATGTCAATCTTTGAGACCTTGGCATGGGCCTGCTCAGAATCGCGTAATGCTGGATTGCGCTGGGATGATGTACGGTCTCATTTAGTGTGAGATATCGAAGCTTGCCTACACTTTCGATACTAAAACCTTCGAATCTAGAAAAAACCGGTCATACGGCGAAGTAAGATATCACAGAAGCGGTAACTAAATGACTGTTCCCATATCCTCTATAGAAGAAGCGGAGTAATATTATAGTGTCATATTGAACACCAAGAACATGTCCGAGCGAAGCATGAAGTTGTAGCTCCAGACTTTGGAAAGGTCTTGATGGGTGAATACTAAGCGGGGGTTTACGATCTTTGAAGGTAGAAAAAAAAAGGAATTCTCCTCTAAACTTATATACCTTAGCATCAGTAGATCCGCGAAGTTAGTCTAAATCTAAACAGTTCGTTGGCTATTTCTATGAGAACGACCTCTTAGCTAAAACCGATTATATTCTACCATCTTGCATGGCTCTATACTTATTAGTGTGTTTCTTTATATATTGTTTGGCAACCTCGTACATCGAGCTTTCCAAATATTAAGTTCTCACCTCTGATCACATTCGAATATCTACCTCCAATACAACTTCATAGCCTCTACACGCATCAAACACCCTCCAACAACATGCAACAGCCAAGAGATTATACGGGAAAAATTATAACCCCCCAATCCCAGTGTTCAGCTGTTGTGAAAGATATTGATATCCTCGAATACTAGAACCTCGCTTACTCCTGAGATATCCACAATTACTAGAACGAGCCATCAAAACACAAATACAAAATCTCCAAGCGTCGCTTTCTGAACATGATGCAGCAACAATCAACACAACGCAATCCATTTCAAGCCGACAGTGCTGGATGCTTTGCAACAAGAATCATATCGATTGTGAACTAGAAGATGGATACTCAATGAATCTCCTTCATCAAGCCAGGAAACGTGCGTATAATCATAAACTTGATGCGCAGCTTAAACAAAACAATTTCATCAAACATGTTTAAGTTTTGGAAGTAACTAGTATATATAGTAAGCAGTTCACAACGGAGAGATTGGTGTTCCCAACGAAAGTGAAGCTGGAGATGACTGTTACTACGTCTTCCCAGCTTTCAGAAGGACTTGAGATGGTACTTGGAAGTTGAAGATTTTCAGGCAGATCATTTAAAAAACCATCTTTAGTTTGGTTCAGGGGTTGAAAATATTAGTTCCGTAAAGAAATACTCTACATGTAAGACAGTCGACAACAAACAAAAAGTTGACAGCAAGACTAGAGCCTCGGTATTTTACTAGCACACTTTCGCTAGTCTGATCCCCTGATATATGACAAAGGATGATAATTCGTCGTAGATATTTAGCAAGATAGTAATATGTCTACCCGACATCGCATGCGTCGGGGCAGAACCACATAATATGTGTATTAACCAAATTGTGGGTAGCACAGGGAGAGAATCAATACTGTGCCGGGTCTGTATTTTTAGCCAGGAATCTTCAAGGAACAGAGAAACCCGTAAGGTTTCGGTATCCTACCTACAATATTTCGAATATCTCTCTCAACTTAACCCCACGGAAAACGCTTTGGAGTTTAATGTCCTGATTTAGCATGTAGAGGGCTAATTTATCTCCAAAAGTATTACTACAAAGGACACTAATATACAATAACTATAAAATCCTCATAACACAACAAAAAGAACCCTTTAACACCCTTGGCCCTCTCTCTCTCGCTCTTCCACTCATGAACCTACCCACCAACCTAATACACGACCTAGCCCTTTTATTGAAGCCCCTTCCCCTTCTTCCCTCTTAAATACCCAAATAAAAACTCCTTCCTCTGAGCAGGTATTAGAACCGTCTTGAAAGTACTTTCCACACTCTACACTCTACACTCTATAATCCCTCATTCCTCATTCCTCATTCCTCATCCCCCAAGCCCCCCTTATCACAACCCAGAAAATGCTCAAAACCTCGAACGTAAGAACGCAAGAAAATCGACAGCAATCCACTCCCCGACGACAACAACTCTCTGCCATTCCTAGCCTTGAAACAATTTGACATCTCCCTTCCACCACACCAATACGCACACAGCAACTCCCTCTCTCCTCCGCGTCCTACTAGCTACCTAAGATCCAAGCGAAACCCCCTCCTCCAGAATCAACACCCGAGTCATCCTCCCACATGGCCTTAGAAAAAGTGAAATCCCCAAATAAATACAAAACACCACAAACTAACAGCCTATGCCGAGATAACTTATTAGAGTACTGATATATATAGGGCTAGGGAGGAGAGAGATTAGAATTGATTGTTGTATAGAGGTAAGTAGTAAACACACTCTTTATATCTTAGACATAATTACGGTTAGGCATTATCTTTCAGAGCTTTCTTTTATAGCTTATTATAATACTATAATGACTAGAAAATCTCTAGAGCAGTTTAAATATCTTTATAATGAATAGTAAATAAACAGAATTCCAGATCCCGAATCTCACTTGACCCATGGAAGAAAGTACCATGGAAGAAAGTATACCAAGATCCACGCCCTAGTTTAGAAACGCGAATCCTAACTCGTAACACTACCATCCCACCACCCCACGATCTCACCAATACTAACACTAACATATAAACCCCTCCTCCCCCCCATCTAACAATAACACCCCATCACTGATCCTGACAATCCAATTCGTATATTCTCTTCCCACCCACCCCGCAATCCCACTCCAACAACCCAACAACCCAAAAAGGGAAAACAAGAAAAGAAGCACATGACACTTCCCATTAATTTCAACAAACGCCGATATCAGTTTGTGATTGAAAACGCACTCACTAACTTACAAACAAACGTTCGAAGATCGACAACACCCTCCCTCCCGACACTAACACAAATCCTTGGACCTCCACATCACCCACCCCAAAGGACTCTATCCTCGCCCATTCCTTCCATCCTTCTATCCACTTCCACTTCCACTTACTATCCACAAAGGACGTATCAGATTCCCAGGCCCCCAAAACCCACGATCCGACCTCCATCAGATGATAAAGAACCCGACTAAAAACTCGAGATACCTGAGCCAGGAAGGGATGGATGGAGAAGGAAAGGTATTTATAAGTATTTTGAATCTTGGTGATACATTGATGAGGAGGGTTGGGATGAGGATGAGGATTATAAGTAGGACTAGATTGAATTTCGTAGAATGATGTTTTCTTGCTGTGAGATGTTGCTTGCTTTCTTTCTATACTCTAATTGCAGTTTGACTATGAAATTTAATTTGCTATGATCTATAACAATAGGCAAGAGTCGAGATGCAAGAAGAGATAAGATAGAGATAAAGCAACACTACATATAAAAAAAAGAAACGATTTCATATCTCATTACACATTCCCAACTATCGTACATGCCCCACTTCCCCATTTCCCACCTCCCACCAAGCCTCTATATAAAATGCCAGGGTATCCCATACCAACAAACCATAAATCATCATAATCAATCAAAGAATCTCAAAAGAAAAGAAAAAGAAAGTTAGAAAGCAATCCAACCACCATCTCAGCCCCTCAAACTAGCCTCAATAGCCAACTTCAACGCCTCCTCATCAGCTTTACTCTCACCCTCCCCTCGCCCACCCCCAACCTCCGTAGCAGCCTTCGTAGCAGCCTTCGCACCAGCCGTGGCAATCGGATCCTCATCAGCCTTAGTATTCATAGGCGTCAACGGGACGTCCCCACTCCCACCCTCACTCTCTTCAGTAACCAAACTCCTCAGCACCGAATCATTCGTACGACCTCTTCTCTCCACCCCAGCACTTCCTAACACGCCATTGTTCCTTTTCTCTTCTTCCAACAAACTCTCACTCAAAATCCTCTGCAAGTCCTTATCCTCCGAACTTGGTTTATACTTATGCGAAGCAGCCGGCGGCGCATGCTCCCTCTTACTCTTCTCAATCGCCAGCAGAATCGCATCATCGATCTCCTCCGGCTTGGGCAGCGGAAGTTTCTCCTCTTTACTGAGCTGGATAGCCAATTTTACCGCTTCGTCATCATCACTCACAAGATCCTCGCCCTCGGAGCTCCTCCGAGAATCCCCTTGTCTGAAAGACCTCAGACTCTCGTGGATGGCTTGTTCTAACCTTGCTTCATGTTCGTAATCCTGTTCGCCGGTAGGACTTTGCTTCGTCTCCACAATACTCGCCTGGATAGCGCGTTCGAGGAGCGCTTCATCGTCTAGCGTCGAGGAGGTACCGCTTTGGAGTTCGCGGACACTAGCTCGAATAGCGCGTTCGATCATCTCATCTTCTTCCTTATTTCCACGCGATGTAGCAGCAACTGAAGTATGAATCGCTTGTTCAAAATCATCATTGCTTTCTGTCTGAGTATGAGCATGCGACATGACCGGACTAACAACCGGCATATCCTGTAGATCTCTCGGAGTATGACGATGTGCATGTCCTCTCCGACAGAAGGGACAATTAACGGGAGATTTCGAGGTGGTGATAACCTCATTAATCTTGATCTCGCGACGTTTAGCAACCCGATCTTCGTGGAGGCGTTTATGGAGTTGTTTTCTTTCTTCCGGGGTGAGATGTTTGGCTTCCCTGTATCCCTTTGGTGAAAGATATCCATGTTCGGTGACTTCAGGTCCTTGTTCCTTGATCTTCATTCGCATGTTTTGATACTCATCTTTATGCTTATTCCATTTTTGGATGATCTCCGCACGTTCTTCGGGTGTACAAGTCTGAGCGTCTTCGAAACCTTTGGCTGTTCGGGCAGCGATGATGTAATTCAAGACACTGGAACCAAACAACTTTTTGATTTCCTTGTTGACTCCCATGAAAGCATATCCTGGAAGACCCCAAATAGCTGTTGTCATTACAGTTAGCGAGGACCTCAGTATTTAAGCTGGAATTTACTTACCTGCGCCTGGCTTGAGAATGACACCTCCAATACCTTTTCCGATACCTTTGACAAATCCCGCCACTCCTTCCTTTTCTGCTCCTCGGATAGGTTGGGTTACAAGACCAGTAATTCCATCGTAGAACCCATACCCGAATTCCTAAATCTAATTAGACATAATTTCCATGTCCTTATGGTCACAACTTACTTTGCCTGCAGCTTTCAACCCACTCTGAAAATCCGTCACCTTCTCTTGAGGTCGAACAGTATCATCACCATACAACTTAGGAGCGTTATGAAATCCTCTCGCAATACCCAAGGTAAAATCCATGGGCGATTTCAGTCCAGCAGAAACGATCCTACTAATACCTTTCGTAGCTTTCCCAGCATTTTCAATCGTCATTTTACTTGGATCAAATGTATTGGAATTCTTTCGAGAATGTCTAGGCGGGGATTCTCCACCAATTAGACGGGCCTTTGGATCTCTGGAATCGGATCTTGAATGTGTGCCTCGATCTCTAGACAGAGAGCGAGAAAGAGATCTATTACCCCTTAATACTTCTTTCAATGAACCTCCTCCTCTTGAGAAAGCTGAAATGGTTGTCGCATTTGTGGAAACATGGGAAATACTTCCAGGCTCCGTTGTAAATGAAGCTGTGGTTGGGACGGTACTCGAGGAAATGTTGGAGGCATTACCTCCAAGCTGACTGGATGATCCAGTGCTTTCATATGACGTCTTTGATAAAGCAGTCGATGAGGTTGGTGGCCTAGGAGACACAGCACCACTTCCTGAGAGGGGTGAGGAGGGAGTACTTCGTCCGCCGAGGTCGACCAATGTCGATGATCTTGAATCCTTTGGGGATTTTTCGCCGTTCTCCTTGTTAGAATTTGTTCGTGCTTTGATTGCATCGGTTCCAGTTTTGGCCTTTTTAAAGATTTCTATTGGAAAATCGGCTACACCCATTGACAGACTAGCAATTGTGCCTATCAAGGCTGATGCTCCTCCAGTAATTGGATCCCATGGGCCATCATCAGTCTCATACTCTCTGGCTCGATAACTGTAGCTTGTTAGACCATACCAACAGCAGAGTAGAAAGATCTTACAGTTTTAGATCTCCAAAATCCAACAGACCTTCAGCTGCCAACACATTTGCAGCCAGAGCACTAAGTCGAGTCTTTGTCCTTTTCAACCTCCATACAGCAACCCGATTAGGAGCAACAGAGCATCTCAAACTGTCAACATCTAAGAGATCATGAAAGCTCTTCGCACCAACCTCAGTACCCTTTTCTTCCTTGATACGAGCACCCAACTCCTTTGCTTTTGCTGAAGTCTCTGGTTTAAGTGCCTCTAGTAGCGCCGCGGACAGCTTATCGGCAGTAAGTTGCTTATATGGAATCGGCGAAGGGCCAGCACCGGCTCTTGCCACCATTGCTCCCCAGAAAGGTTGATCACCAAAGAACGGCACAACAACCGTTGGTTTACCAGTCGAGATACCGGCAGCAGTTGTACCAGCACCTCCATGATGAACGACAGCCGATACGTGCTGAAACAACCAATCATAAGGTACGTTTCCAAGCACGAAGACGCCTTCTGGCACGCTCAACTCGTCACCTCCGAGACCTCCCCAGCCCTTTGAAACCAAAGCTCGACAGCCAGTCTTTTTGACAGCCTCAAAAATCATGGTGGTCATGGCATTTGGGTCGTCTACCACGATAGAGCCAAATCCAATGTAGACTGGGGAAGGCCCAGCTGCAAGAAATGCAGCAAGTTCGGGTGCTGGAGTGTAAGAAGAGGCTAAGGAGAGAAAGTAGAAACCAGATATGGAAATATGTCGACCCCAATCATTTGGTTTGGGGATAAGTGCCGGAGACCTGGACTTTTTATTAGCAGAGATGATAACAGGTAAAACTGACAAACTGACCAGCAGTAAGTATATGGCACTTTTAGACGACTCAGCATTCCCGGTGCCCAAATCAAACTTATAGGATCAAGTCCAAGAGCACGCTCTCTAAATCGGTTAATCACATCTCCCAGGCCTTGCCATGTCATCATTTCTACTAGCGCATAGGAGACAAAATTCGTCATATTTACATCGGCGTTGGAAGACTGAATATTTGCTAAAGGATGGGGAAAAGATTGAGTGGGCGACCAGGGCATTCTAAATGGGTTGTCAGAATGTGTTGGAGCATAGATAGTAACATAACATACGTAAACATCATATGAAGGGGGATACCCATTTTCTCTGCGATATGAACATGAGCAAAACTTGGAGGATTAGCAATGATAGCATCTGCGATAAAAGGTCGATCGGAAGGATCGGTGTCCATGTTGATTCCAGCGTCGAGTCCAAGAGAGTCTTGGCTTCCCGTAGGAATTGGTGCTCCAAGACCGTTACCGGCTTCGACACAGGATCTCCAACATCCTAGAACAATTTCCTCCATTCCTTTTCGTCGTTTTCCAACTTCTCCACTGGTCAGAGCATCCATTCCAGGCATCAAACCAGGGTTCTTGACCATGAAAGCCATAAGCTCTGATGGATCTCCTCCGATACTAAAGAACTCCAGGCCATTCTCTTCCACGAAGCCTTGAAATGTAGGATGGGTTGCCAAACGAACTCGATGACCATATGTAGCCTTCAAAGTCTTTCCCAACGCCACAAACGGCTGAACATCTCCTCTTGAGCCCACAACATGTATAACAACATTTAACTTGGGTGGGGGAGTTTGTCCAGGCAGTCCTCCCAAGGCTTCCGGAATATAACCCGCAGGTAATGGTTCTTCATTTTCAACCAAAGAAAGTTGGCTTCTCAACGCCGGGACCAACAAATCGGAAAGTTTCTTGGTCTTTTGGTTGATGTTTATATTGATTCGACCATCAGAAGTGACGTTAGCTTTTGTATCCAACCCATCTTGGCTCATTTGAATTTCATCGTGTCGGTCGCCATACGCGGGAGGAGCTTCGGTCGCGGAATCTTGAGGGACATGTAGATGTGTATTTCTGGTGGGGTTTCTATGGCAGAGTATGAGCTATCGAACGATTAATTCTGGTAAACATGGACTTACGATGGGCCACCATATTGGTGCTGCGATGCGCGCGAACTTCTTCTTCCATGTCTACTTTCAATATTTCCCAAGATCGCGGCTTGCGCTTGAGCTAAAAGGTGGGCGGGAATGGAAGTTGCATCTGTCTGTTGCCCACTGCCACTGCCATTGCCATTGCCACTGCCATCGCTGCCGCTGGGATTCAAAGGCATATTTGTTAAGGCGTTGTGTGAAATATCTCGTGGAGTCGGAACAGCTCCTAGAGGTAGAGTTGGAGAGTTTCTGCCAACATGAAGCGATCAACAATGAATATATTTCGGTACGAGTCGGCCAGTGTTGAAGTGAGTACCAGTATGCTTCTGATAGTGTGGCTGAGGGGGTTCAGGGTCCTCGGAGTACACGCGCAATCGAGAAAGTGAATGGATGTGAAGGGTTGCCCGATCTGATTGCGTCATAAGGGCCTAGAACAAATACCGAGCAAAGTTTCTTCGGTTGTTTACTTTGATCGTGCGATCAACAAATGCAGGTACCGCACAGGAAAAGATTGGGTGCGTCCGCTGGCATCGTATGGCGATAATGTGGTGGTGATGGTTGCTCGATGATGTATTTGTTGATGGTTGTAACCGCGGGGCAGCTGGGAGCTTCCAAGTGACTGAGGGGAACAAGGCTATCGCTCACCCAATCAAGCAGGGAAGACGACCATGGGGCCAATATAAAAAGCTTGGCTTGGGGTGACTTAATCCAGTCAACATGGGACAATCCAGAAAGGACGGATGGCATACGATCGAGATTCCCCGATTTCGATTTCGCGATGTACTCGAGCATGAGGGGAGCAGTTCGTCCGATGTGAAACCGGATCAAGTAAAGTGGTTTCAATGCTCGACACATGGGACTGTTTATAACTTGATGGATGTGAGAGGGTCGATGCATGATATTCAACCATTTGCTACATCTGGTATATGTGTATTGGAGGCCACATATGGGGGCGTTAATATTAATGACAACGCAGAAGTCCTACAACTTTACTGGAATGCTCAAAATAGATTGATACGGTATCGTGGATCGGATTTGATTAGGGAGATGGAGTTTGTGATTAAGTTGAAGTTGAAGCCAATCGGGAACAAATGTTCATTATCGTGACAAATTATACGAAGCGCAGGCTGACGAAACTAACAACCTATCTACTTACTATTAGGGTTGTGTATTCGGAATCATTGATATCATTGGCCAAGAGCAGGTGCATCACGTGTCCTCTCCCCAACTTTCCAAATCCAGCTTTAAAGTCTTTCTGGAACTCGTTAAATTCCTAGATAAAGTAAAAGAAGATAGAATATTCGAGGTATTAAGCTAAGTAATAGTAGGTATCCACTTAACAAATCCCTAAATTCAAATAAAACTAATCACCTTAAAAGCGTAGGTAAATAATAAATCTCTTTTAACTCACGCTAATATTTTAGGGCCTGTTTGGATTCGATTATTTTAGCGATTATTCATATAATCGCGAAAATAATCGCTAATCTAAACACAAGGCCGTATTATTTGCTCAAAATATAATCGTGATATAATCGCGATATAATCGCCATACAAAAAAAAATAGCTTCTTTTTGGTACTATTTCGAGCGATTATTTTCAAAAACACGTACAAAGTACTATAAATTCTATAGTTAAACTTTCAAAGTATAACACCTCTACGTATAACACTCCTCGACACTTCTAATCTCACTATATATATCGCATATACTTGTTATTCCTGTCGTACGCAAAGTGTATTTGTAGTATATAGAGCATTTGTAGCGCGAGCATTTGTAGCGCAAGGAGCATTTGTAGCACAAGATGCATTTGTGTAGTGCCTATAGTCTATATGCGGCTCAAAACGAGGCTCTATATGTACGCGTTTTGCCCTGTTTATAGTGTTGATAATATAATAATAAAGTGAATCGACAAGGCATGGTCAATGCTTAGATAGTGAATCTAGTGCCTAAAAATCTCAAATAAGCTGGCAACTTTTTCTAGCGATTATATAGAATAATCGTAAAAATAATCGCAAATATAATCGCAAATATAACCGCAACTTTTTTTAAATCCAAACAGGCCCTTAATAGCATTCATTTATTACATATTCAAATAACAAAAGAATTTCATAATCATAATTATATTTCTCCTCCGTCCCTCGTATACTATCTACTACTACTTTTCTTCCTTCCCTCCCTTCCTTCCCTCCAGCTATAACCATTCGCAACCCCTCTCGCACCCCTATTAATTCCTCCCCTCTTCTCCCCTCCCCTCCCCACATAAAAACAATTTAACAATGAAAAAAGTAAGAATAAAAGAGTAAGAATAGAGAAAAAGAGGTAAGAATGTCTATCCACGAATAAATAGATACAGGCCCGCCGTAAGAAAAAGATAAGAAATAAGAAATAAAAATAAGATAAAGCTTCCTTCGCATCAAGGGGAATCAACTAAAACAAGGAAAAGAAAAAAAGAACGCAGTATTCAAAAAAAAGTAAGAATCGATCGCCGAGAAAAAAGGAAAAGAAAAGAGACGCTCATAAATTAAACTACTTTTCCGCCACCCATCCATCCATCATTATGTCGCAAACTTTCCAAAGCCCATCATCCATCCCATTAATGCTCGCATGCTCAACAATCCCATCAAGAAACTCCTTCCGTGCGCATGCATGCTCCCATTTCCCTGTACCCATTTCCATGACATTCCTTCCCATAAAATCATAAAAAGAATAAAAGAAACAGAGACGTATCGTATCGGATCAGAGAAAATATGCAAAAAAAAGTCGTAAAGGTAATCCGTCATTTGTACGTATGTGCCAGACCGAGAAGAGCAGTAACTACAAATTGTAATTGCAATCGAATCATTGATGCCGTATCGAGTATGTATGTGCGGTATGTGTTGTATTTGACTTTTGTGGAAGAGAGGATCGTATGTCGAGTTCGCATTGTACTTTTTGTTTGTGAAAATTTGGATTGAGAAGAGAACTGTGAAGTCGTATCGGCCGTGAGACCTTTGAGATTGAGAACGTGATGCCGGGTGTTGCCATTTCAGCGGGGTGTAGTTGCGTGTATGTGGATCGCTATCAAGAAATACTTACCTCCTCCCTTTTGGAGCATTGGCATCGCTTCTCACATTTCCATTGGATTTGGAGCACTAGACTCCTTGGAAGAAGGGGACATGGTGAGTGGTTGAATCCAGAATCGGGACCCCGGCGTCCCGGTAGGTAAATATCGGTGTAATATGTGCTGTAAACAATATACAAACAAACCCACCCAACTTTCTTCTCCTTTCGTCGCTTCGCCGATACATTGTAGAGCATTGAAAGGCATTTTGTCAGGGATTTGTTGATGATAACCGATACAAGCCAATATCGAAATCAGCTCATTCCATTTGCTTCCAATCCCTGAATTGCCGCATACGAGTATGGGAAATCAACGAGACCATCAAGCATCCAATTCAAGGGATCGAAGACTTCGTAATTATTCTCGCTGTAGCTCACACCTACCAACATGCCGGCCGACGGCAGTCCGTTGTTGGGTGTGATGACACCAGTGCTGACTGGAACAGCCAAGAGTTGGTTTTGAATTTGATGAGATGGTGGCATGAGATTGTTTTCCATGTGGTGAGTAGAGGAGTTGGAGGATTCGGCTGCACTGTCGGGCTTGGTAGGATTCTTCATGGCCGCTGTGTGTGAGTGATGTTAGTACTTTCCGGGAGATTGTAATACACAACAAAGGATGTAAGAATAGGGGGGATATGGAAATATGAATTTCATAAAAGGTAAATCGGCTGACCTTCCAAGTTTCCTCGTCCTTGAGCCTGGAACTCTTCTCGCCAACGCCAAATTGAGTCAAACATCAAACTCATACTCATTCTGCATCGAACCTTGAGTTGTAGGCTATCATCAATGACAGTCCTATGATCATCTGAGCCACCATTGCTGTTCCCTCCATTTTGCAGAGCACTACGAGCTTCCACTCGCGCTCCGTTCCACATTTGTACCATGAGTTCGGCCAATCTCCATGGGAGATCATTGTTAATGACACTCATACTTCTAATGACCGTGATGGTATGGTGGAAAAGTTGGCGTCCTCTCTCAAATTCAATCTCTTTGGCAAAGAAGGAGCTTAACAATTTAAGAAGAGTAAAGCACGCAGCTATAATCATTTGCATGATATAGTTGGTGGCATAACGCAACATACCTCCAGACACACCTTTGGTTTGTGATTCTAGATCAAATACCAAATCCAAGAATGCCAGTGCTGCTCTCCACAAACTCATAAGATCATCTATATATCCTTGAGTTGTGCTGGAATCAAAAAATGCCGAAAGACGGAGATGTAAACCAGCAGCTTTCAAGTGTAGATTGACAATCGGTGACAGAATTTGTTTTGACATGATAGAAGCAGAAAGTTCGCCATATTCTCTTCGATAAACTCTTGCAAGCATAGCTCTCAACTCATCACCAGCTACCCCACGGGGATCACTCGCATTACTGTACATCTCTTTCGAGATCTTGTCGCAGAAACGCTCAATCTGAAGTCGGGCTTCAAGTTCTGGTGATAAAGTGAATGGGCCATCATCTCCCGGTCGAACAGCAAGTGTCCAATCATATAGAGTTGAGGCAGGCTGCCCGTATCCTGTACCTACGCTTTGCGCAACAATGTTGCACACAGCCCAAGTAGTAACTCTATCATGTAGTTGTTCCTTATTCAGATCAACAGAAACCCGGGAAAAGTCTTGGGTGTGGTTTGGACGATGAAGACCAATGCCAGTGGCAGACTTCATCATGACACCACATATGATGTGAGTTGGGTCAGTGGAAGTGGTGCTTGTGGGCAAGGGCCAGCAGCATAACAAGCACAATGCCTTGACCACGTGGTAGCTCTGCGGTACCTCCCCTATTGTAGTCCAGAGAAGTCTTGACAGAGGACCCGCCAGAGCTGTCAGCAATGTTGGGTCCAATGTGTAGCGACGAGAAGCGATTGCTACGATGACCCAAAATAGCAATGGGTGATACTGATAGTATTGCTCCGGAGTTTGAATAGGATCCAAGAAAGGCAGGTATGGATGATAGTAGGTCCAGAACTCATTGAAAAGATGATTCATCGCCTCTTCCGTCAATCCCACATTCTCAATCTCCTTGACATAGCGCGGTATGGTGTAAGCTCCTCCTTGTTTGAGATGTAGCAAGCTGGAAACTGCCTCCTCCGATCCCATAAAGTTCTGATTATTTCTGGAATATGCGCCATTCGCGATCGGTGACTGTATATCGTCGTTTGTATCTACCACAAATCCTTGCCCCCGAGCTTCTTCTAACTTTCGCTGCAGATTCTCAATTGTTTTTTCCATCTCGGCGTGTTTACTACGCTTCCCGACTCGCTTGAAATTGGATTCGATTTTGCACTCGAGCTTCAGTCGGTTGCATCGCGAGCAGGTGGTGAAAGGGTCTTGGACAACATCGCATCGAAGCTATAGAAATCTTGATTAGCATAGCTTCTCAAACGCGTTTGCACTTCGAACTCGAAGGCGGTATGGCGGGATCACTATGAGTTGAATTTTGCGCCGCAATTACTCACCTTCTGTTGTCGACACTCATTACAAGCCCTCTTCACACCAGGCAGTCTCCGACGCTCATGCTCATCCTCCTCTCCCTCCACGGCACTACCAGGACTACTCTCAAAATCGGGACCGCTCCTCTTGCGTTTGTAGCTGGAGCTGGTACCCGGGCGAGTAGCAGTAGTCGGACTAATAGCGCCTCCGCCCATGATACCCTGATTATTATCCATGAGTACGAGTACGCCGATGCCTATGCCTATGCCGGCAGCCTCTCCCTCTGCCTTTCCCCTTCCCCTCTGACTGTAACCGCTGGTACCAATGAAATCTGCTCGGCGGCTTTTCTGCAACACACCCGAACCTGGATCGCAAGGCGCCAACCCAGATTTTGCGGGCCGTGTGTTTGTTTGATAGCGAGGGCACCTGAATCGGATCCTTTGAGGCGCGGTGATTTGTGCTGTGCTGTGCTCTGCTGCTGGGACTGCGTTAACTTGAGGCCGGTTTCGCTCCGTCTGTTCTTGATGCCGTTTTCGGAGGGCGGGGTGATGGAGAAGAGGTGCGAGTCCAAGTCACCCATTTCTCCACTTGGGGCGGTGTTGGAGAGGTGCTTGCTTACAAATCGGGGCGAGAGATGCATATGCACGTGTAGGCATGGGTTCATTGGGAGGCGAACATGAGGGGATGGGAATGGGAATGGTGAACTTTATGGGGAAGTTGAACTTTACAAATGAAGAAAATTGACTTACTTAGGGTTGTGTCCTTTGTCCTTTGGTATATCAACGATAATAGATATTTTGGTAATGATATGATATGGATAGGTAAGAATGTTTTTGTTGATGGTTGTGTTGGTTGTACGTGAATGGTCTCAAGGTCTCTGAGAGTCGAGATGTGCTTGAAAAGTACGATTCACCGAGGATTATCCAGGGCACACGGCTAAAGTTTCCTCAGCCAGCTACTGGAGTATTATCTCACTAAGGTTCTCTGTGGAGCAACAATAGGCGAACTGTCACAATAAGCACCTGCACAAGCTCAAGGTGTTAGAAGCTCCGCTCAAGCTCAAGCCAAAACTGAAGCCACCAGTGTACAAACCAAATCTTATTTCAACAACAACTATTCGTCCATCTCTACAATATATAACCCTCGGCAGTGAAGACATCCAACCAATGAACCCAACACCCAAAAAACTCGTCCCGAAGCGTCCTCTTAAACCCCCCAAACCCGGTCCAACAACCTCGTCACACAGTCAAAAACTCGCCTCAAAGGATGAAGTCACAGTGAAGCTGCAGAAAGGAAAAGGTATACCAGGTATGTATGTACCTATGTCACTCGGAAGCTGGGGAGTTATGTATGAAGTGTGGTGATCAAAGGATGCACATGATTCGATGTATTGGCTGCAGCCGTAGCTAGAAATGTGTGTATGATACTATGCTATAAGTTATGCTTGCTGATATCACTTTTTTGCAGTGCACCTGTGCAATTTCCAAGCTACCCCCCAGCCATTTCTGGACTGGGGCGTGGAACGAGGTTCGGAGGTAGAGGCGGAGGAGGTGGGGAAGAAAGAAAGAGGACGAGGAGAGTTAGGCGCTTATACATGATCCTGGTATTTTGTATAGGACCTAGGGGATTCAGTTTGAGTACATCTTGCCGGCACATGAAGTATGACTTCTTGCTCAAAATGGAAACTTTCGAATACTGAGCTACCTGTCTACACGTGAGATCCCTACCTCTCTGGAGTCAGCCCTCTGCCCTCTGCCTCTCCTCCAAATTACACTCCCATCCACACCACGCCTCCAGGGTATGACATACTTCTACATGTCATGACACAGTGGCTTTCCCACATCTGTACTTCTGTCGCATCGCACCCTCTTCCCATCATGTGGTCCCTTTCCTGCCTTTTTTTGTAGGTAGTAGGGTCCCACTGTTCGTGGCGGAAAACGCGGGGTACATGAGCCCCAACCCCACGATCTATGGGCGCGGGGCCATCGTTTTGTCTCGCCAGCGTTGAACGGGACGCACCAGGGGGGGAAATCCTTATGACCTAGATTATGGAGATACACTTGGGCATTGGAGAAACTTCAACGGTGTGCACTAGTACGTTTTATTGTTGGGATCTGGCTTGATGATGTTTTAACGGTAGTGGACCTACAAACTGGAGAAACAGTAAAGTATACTCCCCCACGATGGAACGGACGAACGGATTGTGTGCGAGTAGTTCTCATTCCCATTTGAATTCCATTTACAATGGTATACACCCTCGAGACACCCTTCACACTGACTCGTATGATGCGGCTGACAGTCATCAAGTCATTTTACTTTTTTCGTACTTAATTCAGACCGTAACCGTCACCTCACCCCCCCAACACTCCTGTGGTAACTGGTCCAATTGAAAATCAAGAGTCCACCCATAAGGCAGGTCGTGGAGCATCACGATTACTTAACTGCTCAAGATTTCTTTTAGCTCTTCAAAATTGGCCAATCGCCTAGAGATATTCGGTTTCTTACGTCAGTGTGAATGAAAATGAAAACTGCTTACTTGCTTTTTGGATGGCTGACTGAATGGTACTGTAGAGTACCTTGTTCATATTTGCATCGGTTTGGTGATCTTCCAAGTTCCATGCTTTTTATACTGTACGTTGAGAGAAGACAAGACCGAGACGGACTTGTAGGTATATTACTTGTTCGTGTATACTGCGAGGTGAGAGAGTTACCAAACCTCCCGTCATCAACAATCCTTACAAAATATTTTCCCGAAGTCATCAAGGTTCCCGGGAAGTATATGTATTTCTAGCCGGGCGACTTCGACTGTCAAGACGTATAAACACCCAAGACATGGCGCTACAACGGGACAAGCAATACAAGCAATAGTCCAGAAGGCGTCAAAATCATAAGATTCCTTGGCTATACAATACCAGACTCGTTCAAACCCCAACCACAACAAAAGGACACCAAAGCAGTAAAAGGACCGAATTCAGCAGCCTCGATGATCACCTGAAATCTCTACCAGTGAAATACAGTGAAAACTACACGTATGACCCAAATATTCAACGATGACGCCAAAATCGACGATCCCTGATCTGGGGAAGACGGAAGACCTCGGCTACCACAGCTGACAACGGTCATTGGGATGTGGGTTGATTGGATTGGTGTTGTTGTTGTCACCTAATCGCCACGGGAAAAATGCCAACTGGTGTTCCTCTGGCAGCTGTGTGACCCGATGGCGCAGGGGTTATGAGCGACTAGAACCGATTGGGCTCTCTTTCAGCAGCCGAGTGACAGCTGGCGTTCATGTTGGAAGTGACGACCTAACGACCTGACGACCTAGCAACGACCTTTCTTTGAGTGAGGCAACTTTTTCCAACTTGCTGTTTTTTCTTCAGCCTATATCGTCACTAGTCACTCTGCTATACAAATTGCTTCTACTGTTCTACCTGTTACTAATGCTGAAGAACGGCTCGAATAAAGCAAGTCCACGCCATCACCAAACAACACTCCTCATGGACTAGAAATTCTCCGTTTCCGTTACCGACCATGATCTTGATACCCCCCATGCAAGAGATACCCGACATGACCAGCTCGCTAGCCGCATGCATGGCATCAAACCCCTTGGACCCCGAGAATTGAATCATACCACCCACACGCTCCACTAAAAGAACTACCCATAACCTATTCAGGTACCTATACACTCCCCATACCCGTGGTGTCCAGGCATCATGAACACCCAGTCTGCACGCATCCTACCATCTGGTGCCATGTAGTGTCCTATATTGTAGCACCGCACAGCAGATCCCCATGAGATCACCCGATGAACCAAGCGTTGCCCAGTGGATTGACTGGACTTCCCCAGAAGCTCATGGCTTGAGAGCCTTGGTCATGACCCCTGGACTTCTTTTTTGTATTCTTTTGTCATTTGCACTGATTCATTGGCCGGTCGTCGAGGAGGCAAGGAATGAGATTTCATCACTCGGAGGTTTGTGTACACGGCATGTCACATTGATTCCACGTTGGCGGGGAGGTAAGGAGGTCGGAGGTGGGGAAAGAAGAAATATTGGTATTGGTATTGGTAGGAGGGAGGGTACCTTCCTCGTACTTAAATACTGCTCCTTCCCCAACCTATCACGGATCTCGGACATCCAATTGAAATTCTGCCGAGTTGGTTTGGAAATTTTGTTCATGGGAGTTTTTGGATAAAACTTGTTGGATGTCTTGATCTCAATCCAAACATAATATTTCTTCTCCCACACCACACACAATGGGTCTCCTCAACGCCCTCACGCTGGCTATAGCCTGCTTGTCCGCCGTGGAAGCAACACCACTGTAAATCTCCCTCCCTTCCCATAGCCTACCTCTTTCTCCCTCTTACTAACAAACAAAGAAAACGCGCACCCACCTTCAACTTCGACAGCGAAAAGGTCCGCGGCGTCAACCTCGGCGGTTGGTTCGTCCTCGAACCATGGATCACTCCCTCAATGTTTCAACAATGGGAATATGGCGGTGGCGTCGTCGATGAATACACCATGACGGCTGCTCTGGGTAAATCGGCGGCGCAGAACTATTTGAATGCGCACTGGGATACTTTCATTACTGAGGCGGATTTCAAGGAGATTGCTAGTTTTGGGTTGAATCATGTGAGGATTCCAGTTGGGTCTTGGGCTTTTCATCCAGTGGATGGGGAGCCTTATGTTCAGGGTGAGTGGTTTGCTCTCTTTGTTTATTGGAAGAGTTGATTTAGAAGTGGAGAAATTGTTTACCTTACAGTTTTCAATCCGATGAGCTCGTATTGGAGTTGAGGAAAGCTGCTAGGCCAAGCTAATTCGAAATCTCCCATAGGCCAATTGCCATATCTCGATAGAGCAATCCAATGGGCTAGAAACGCAGGGCTACGCGTAATGTTAGACGTCCACGGAGGTATATCCACTCTTTCGCCTCTCAACTTCATAAAACCTAACCTTTTACCTTATAGCACCCGGCTCCCAAAACGGCTTCGACAATAGCGGAAAATACGGCAATATAAACTGGCAATCAGGATCCAATGTCCCCAATACCCTCCTCGCAATCAGAGCCCTCGCAGACCGCTACAAAGGGGACACCGACGTATTAACTTCCATCGAGCTACTCAATGAACCTGCAAACTGGGGAAATGACATGGGCCTCGTGAAGAAATTCTACTACGATGGGTGGGGAACCGTACGAGATTACCATCCCACGACCGCGGTGGTTATTCATGATGCCTTCCTTGATGTACAAAGTTACTGGAATGGATTCATGAACGCGGATAGTGGCGTCCATGATGTGGTTCTGGATACACACATCTACCAAATCTTTTCGCAAGGAGAAGTCGCCATGAAACCATGTCAACACGTTCAAACGGCCTGCGCTGCTGGACCAAAAGTCAAGGGAACCGATAAATGGCTCATCGTAGGCGAATGGACAGGTGCACAAACCGACTGCGCGAAATGGCTTAATGGACTCGGAAAAGGCGCACGTTACGATGACACGTTACCAGCTTCCTCACAGGGGTACTACGGTAGTTGCGACAAGAAGTATCAGGGAACTGTGGAGGGAATGATGGATGTTGACAAGGTTAATCTGGAGTATTATGTGGAGGCCCAACTGGATGCTTATGAACAACACACCGGCTGGGTATTCTGGACTTGGAAGACGGAGAGTGCACCCGAGTGGCACTTTCAGAATTTGACGCGCGCGGGTCTTATTCCTCAGCCGCTTACTAGTCGGAAGCATCCGAATCAATGTGCGACCAGTCAGTGTTTGATACCGGGGAACTAGGAGAGGGAGGTCATGCATATAGGTTGTGTGAGGGGATCTTGGACGACCAAATTATGATTTATGATTGAGATGACATTGAACAACTCGATATAACACAAAGAGAAGAGAGGAGCGGATGGAGGACAAGCGAGAGTAATTTGGAATTGGACATTGGAGTTTGCATGGATGGGATGGATGGAATTAGCATTGTTAAATATACCCCTCATTCGCTTGGAGTATTTTGGATTTTTGGCACTGGAAGGGAAGATAAGGGAAAGGAATGGAGAAGTAGTATGCTCCGTTGCAAAGTTCGGTAGTTAATAGCTTGAGCATAGCGGCAATCGAAAAAACCCTGACAAAACTCTTTTGCAATTACCATTCATATTCGCGCTAATGATTTACCATTTCAAATTCCTTGATTGAACGAGACTAATCAAAACTCGAATGCTCTCTTCCAAAAACAACAAAAAACCTTGTCTGTGCCGACATTAAAAGCAAATTCCGAGCAACAATCCTTCTTTGCATCCTACTAGGTAGCTACTATTCATCACTCCCGTATCTTATACCACTTGACCTCTCCTCATCAATCAGCGTCATAAAAGGGAAAAAAAAGAAACAATAGGAGTGCCTCCGCTGGGTGGGGGGGTGCGTATCACAGATCGTCAGGAGAACGCGGGTAGATACCGTAATCTTACCTTGGCAATATCCGGTGCTACTGTGTCGGTGTCTATGGCGTTCGTTTGGGGTATACATTACTGTACTGTAAGGTTACGAAGTTGGAATTTGTAATGTGTCGCGAGATGTGGGGGTACGGGTACTGGTACGAGTTTACACTCGTTCGGGATTGGGGTGGAATGATTGTCATTATAATTGGACTCTTCTATATCTTAATATAAAATACACTAAATATGGATATAAACATAATTAGTGGTGCGAATTCACAATTCTTGATATAATGTGATTAGAGCTATTTATTTTATGTGGGTCTATGGATCGTATTCTTACTTGAATGTCTTAGACGGGTCAGGCATATATAAGGTGGTTACATAATATAAGATGTATTGTTAACATACTCTTAGTTGAAGGGACGAAACAGCTGGATGATAATGACGACCGGCGAAACGTCGGATACTGTAGCTCCCCTGATTGCCCCCCCTTTAAGTCTCACTTCGAAGTGAGACATAAGATCAACAAAACAACACTATAACAACCTTAAAACAGATACGTAGGGTACAAAAGACTTCCTCCACACTTATAACAATGAATCGTAAGCTCTTTGCCTAGTATAGGGGCCTCGGAAAATACTCGGCTCGGCGAGATTTAAGGTTTCTAATAGAGAAGGCTGCGAATCAGCCGCCAGCGAATAGGTATTACCACCACCTGGGTGATGATAGTCAATAGAATTATCGCAAAAAACGCAACACTGCCAAAAAAGAAACGAGTGATATAGTAATATCACTTTTGTAGAATCATAAGATGATTTCCATATAGTAAAAATGGACTTGCGTAAGTCTAAGTACAGTATAGTTAACCATCTTAATTTATAGGAAGATTTCTCGCTCAAAGCCTAGTGTGAGCCCAACTAAAAACGAGGTGAAATCATCGTAGCCTTGACTGTAACTGTAGATATTATTGTAAAAATTATCGTCGCCTTACTTTCTGTCCTTTCTCCCTATTGCAATCATCATTTTCTACTGCACCACTACTACATTTACAAAGTACATTTCTGCCTCTCATAGTCTCATCATATCAAAAAAAAATCGGCAAAAATGGCATCAAGCGTTTCTGCCCAACAATTCCGTCAAATCGAGATTATTTTTACATCATAAACCCGTTCATGGGTACTGAGGGGGGGGCAATCCGACGTTTTGCAGGACAACACCTGAGATACTATTAGTTGATAATAGCACGTGGAATCAATTCAACACTTTCTGATTAAGTAATCACGTAAGAATTCGTTATTTGGTTCCTTTTAAATAAAGAGGTTTATTATTTAAGCTTATGCTAAATACTTTATAATGGAATGAATTAGATTCTAGCAGTTTCTAATCAAGTACTATATATAACAATTTATTACTTAGTTCATTTATATATCAAAGAAGCTGATTGTTTAAGCTTACGCTAAATACTTTACAGGAGAATAAATTAGATTCTAACACTTTCTAATTCAGTGCTATATATAAGAATTTGTTATGTGGTTTATTTTAAATAAAGAAGCTTATTATTTAATCTTACGCTAAATACTCTAATTTAGTACTATATATAAGAATTTGTTACTTAGTTCCCTTTAAATAAAGAATTTAATTATTTAAGCTTACGCTAAATACTATATAGGGGAACAAATTAATCTGAGGGGATCAATGATTCTTTCGGTCAGTTGGTTACCTACACAGGGAGTACTGAGAAAAGAAGTGTAATCCGCAGAAATGCTATAAGCGAATTCGACAAGTCAGTGTAGTATTAAACACACGTTCAGATAAAACTCGTTACAAGAAAACGTATGTAATTATGTTAGACAAGAACTAGGCTCTGCTACAATTTACGATGGGAAACAAACAGAGAAACCCGAAAATCCATACTATGACCTCCTACCAACCCTTGTCAGAATCCTAACAAATAAACCATTACTCTTTCCATTCCAAAACACCCTTAGTAGCAACCCATGACCAAGTATACTGCGATCCACTCTAGTGATGTTTTGGAATATAGATTCTCGGCTCACTGGGCAAACAGTGACCATTGATCTCATAAACATCCATCTCCTCAAATAGGGGCGCAACCTCTAGTGTCTGCATAATTCGGTCCATCATTCCCCTAATCCATTTCCTATGCTCGGCTTTGTGTCGTGGTTCTACTCCATACCGACGATGATGTTCGAGGTTTTCTTCGTGGGTAATGTAGAGTCGCTTCAAATGATGCTTCTTAGCCAGATCGGCCATCACTTGGAAGTCATCCATTACTTAGTCTCTGCCGTAGACATCAATCGACATGTGTAAGTCAACGAGAGCGGGGAAATACGGATACTTCTGTTTGTCGGATAGAGAGAAGGCATAGGATCGTAAGTCTCTACGTTGGTATACGTAGGGTTGAGTTTCGGGAAGATTTGGTACTTTTTCCTTGCTTCTAATCAAACTTTAGTAAAATCCTTTTGTGAGACGTGCAGTAACATACCGTAATGAAAGTTGTCGAATCCACTGAAACGGGATCTTGTTACCAACTAAATCTTCTGGGAGCGACAAACGAAAGAGGAAGTTCTTGGCAAAAACCTCCAGAGCTTCTTTGTACAGAATTGGTTCCCCGCGCAAGGCTTTGATCAGATCAGGTTTTTGAGACTTTGGAGGGCTATATCCGTATATTCTATGATCGTGAATATTCACGCAACCGATAATGTAATCAAAAATACGCATCCGAACTTCTGCAGGTAGCGGGGACAGTGAGAAACCCGAAGGGCTGTATTTGACGACTTTGCCATCTTCTATACATGCCTTGAGGCTGCAGCGAACATGTTTACATTCTCCCAATCGACTACCACGAACTTCCGAATAATTAAGGCTGCATTTGTCCGCGGCGACATGTGTGAGGACTGAGATGTAAAAGCTGCACCTCTGTGGTGGTTCCACTGTAGATTTTCGAAGACGCGATAGGTATCTTCTCTATGAAGGATCCGATAATTTCGCAGTCGACAAGTTCCACCGTACCAGCGTTGGATGCGTGTATTTGGATAATAGGTTCTGCGTGGAGTGCGTCGGTGCTGAGATAAAGCTCTTCGGGTGGAAAGATGTCGAGACTTTTGTCCCATTCGCTAAAGTCTGCTTCTGTCGGGATACCGGGATACCAAAATCGTAATCTGAGCCAGTTGTGTTTGTGACTCTGCAGTTGACGAGCGTACAGTATTCCAACTGGCATCCCATGACCACACAATCATACAAGTCCGCATAGTGGATCCTAGAATCAATGATAGTGGTGTTTCGCAATACTGGACGACGGATCGGATTGGTCGAACACGACACATAACCCCCAGAAGATATGCATTTATCCACTGAGCAAGCAATAATTGAGCTTTCTGCAAAAATACAGTTTTCTATATCGCATTCAACCAGACATCCTTCTAGAAACTTGATATCTCGATGGTTTTCTCCGTGAAAGGATTGTCTTCTGAAGTCTTTTGGACGGCTAGGAAATCCTGGAGGAATAGTTGACGAAGGTGTGATAGACATTTTCGTTGTGACCGTGCTATTTTGCGATCAGGTCTTGTTAAGTAGTGGTGGTGTAGTCGTTTGTAGTAGATGATGTAAAGAAGTAGATGAGTTGTACGACAAATGAAGACAGGAGGTAGCGGTTGCTAAACTTAATCTAAGGAGCAGTGCATAGTTATTTGTACCCATGGATACGCTAGCAAGATACTGATGGTCTGTGCTGTGTGTCTTAGGCAAAGAGTTAGTGAAAGCATATAGTACGTGGAAATAACAAGCGCGTGAATACAACAAGAACTTACTAGAGCAGCTTCACTCTAACATAGGTTTTTTGCTTACATTTGGTAGTATTGTTTCTATTCTACAAATCACAAAACTATCTTTATAAAACAGTGAATAGTTACTACCTAGCTTCACTCCTTTAAGTCCAGCTTGCTCCACTCCTTTGGGAATAGCGTAAAGGGGATGTTTTTATATCACGTGAGGACGACCTATAGACACACGCTAGCGGAGAGGAGTAGAAATCATTAACACCTTTATATTTCCTGCCCAAGGACAGAAAGCGTACGCCTAGGGCTATCTTTTGCCTACTACTATCCTCCTTTGTATACTACTATTTGTATTGGCTTAGTATTAGCAACTATATAAAAGCTAGCCTTTTGTTTCTGTTTTTAGGAATTAGAATAGAAAGAGCGTTATAGTACCCTAGGGCTCTCTAAAACCTAGGCGCTAGTGCTATATTAGTATCCCCTTCTCCTACGTTAGTACTAAGTAGGACAAACGTAAATATAAAATTAGTATCTATAAGAACTTCGCGATTAAGGTAGCTATACTTGCTTTTATATATATAATATTAGTATATAACTATTAGTTTAACTCTAAGTTAAAGAGCCGAAAAGATAATAAGGAAAGTATAATATAAAGCTAATAGTTTAGTATCGAATATATTATATTATAAAGACTATTAGTTATGTGACGGAGCTGGATTTCATTTGACAGGATTTCATTCGCTTGGCCAAGCACGTGACGAGACTTGGCATTGGAACAACTTAAATAACTTCGCTCCTTTCAGATTCTCTTCTCTCTTTAGTTTGATTTCTTCGTACCTACGGTTTTAGTTCTAGCAATTGATTCAAAAGCTGTATACACTTTATCCTTTGTTGGTGTAACCGTGTGGAGTGAACCACTGCTTGCTGTGATGAATACGGAGTCAAACGGAAACTGCTGTATTGAGCGAACAACAAAGTGAGGAAGGAAGAGAGTTCCAGAGGAACGAGAGCTTAAATACAGGATGCCAGCAGCGCGCACGTGACACATACTACATGCTGCGCTACACGTGATCAACCCCTAGTTCCTCCAACTCCGTAACAGTACCCCCCCTCTTAAAGAAGGTCGTCCTCGACCGAGTATCCATAATTAAGTTACCATCTAAATCATCATAATCGTCCCTTCCACCTTCCCAAGCACTTAACCAGTCATATAAGCGAGCTGGCGGGCCAGGTCGAGTTGGGTTAGTTAGGTGGAAGTCTCTTACTTTGTGAGGGGCGTATTTACAGTCAGATGCCGGGTACCACTGTAGGTCTTCGTCTTGGTTTAGCCATTTAACACGGTAGTAGAGGTATTGCCGTCCTTTACTTGCAAGGATCTCTTGAATTTCCCACTCATCGTCGCCTGTAATGTTGACAGGCGGTGGCTCTGGATTACTTTGGCCTGGTAAAGGATTCTGGGAAGCCTTACGCAATCTATCAGGGGAGAAGACTGGATGGATTTTCATTGAATCAGATAGTTGGAGCTTGAAAGCGTTGCCTACTTGCTGGATAATTTTGTATGGGCCAGCCTCTGGAAAGTCGAGCTTGCGGCTAGGCCTCT